ACATGCAGCGTCATGTAGCAAGATGGATTCAAAGAAAGATTGGAGAGTTTTTGCGCGTGTGAGCGACTCTAGGTAGGCAAGGCGAATGTGGACTACCGACCTGTCTGTCACGAGACCGCTTCATTTGAGTACTAGTAGCTCCCGCGCGGGTCTCGTTGGTGCCAAAGATTGAAGGGATAAATAAATAGGCATAAAAACGTCAACTGATGCCTTGCCAATTTCTCCCGCAACTCGACCTTGACGCAGCTTCCTCAAACCGCCTGGGGCCCGAGTGAGTGAGTCCGAGTCTGGATCTGGATCTGGATCTGGATCTGAGTTCTCCGCGGCGACATTTAGCCGTGGCTCTACCAAATTCCGCATCTCGCAGCGTCGGCGCCAAGTTGAAGCTGTCGATCTCGTACATACTGAAGGGCCTTGGCCGCTCGACCACTGCTGCTGCCAAGCTGAGCATCACCGTCCCCATCACCATCTCAGATTAGTTAATAAGCTACGCCAACACGGAGTGCATTGCGCAGTGTGCGGTTGTGCGGTGTGCGGTGGTGGTCTGTGGAATCTAAAGTCTGGACTGGAGTTGTCGTCAACCAACCTCGCTGGACATGCAACTTGACGCATCCAAGGGTTGGGGCCTCAAAACGTCCATGAGAAGCAAGACGATTCCTGGGTACAGAACGTCAGCGTACTAACTCGGGCGTTTGGGCTTTCAAATGTCCTGGCCGGCTAGGTCTTCTGGCGGTCATTCGGCGGGCCCCAGTTCCGTCACCGCAACCAGTCGACGTCTCCACTCAATGGTCAACTGGCATCCCAGGCCAAGGGACGGCGCACGGAGCACCTTTAGACTTCGGGGGACCCAACTTTCTGCTGCTTCTAAAGTTGGCAGCTTGAAACCCCCAGTGGGCGGCTGCTCCTGCCCAGACATCTGGAACCTGGCCAGGCCCGGCTAGCTGGCCGCCTTGAGCTAGCTACATAGCTAGCTCACCCACAGTCCGCCGCGTCGTGCCTGCTTGCTTGGTTGCTCGTTGATGTCAACACACGATTGAGTCCCAGTCTGGCCTGGTCTGGTGCGTGCTTCTAGGCATCGACATCTGGGAGCTCTCCAGCCCTCCAACCTGGCATCTCTTTCAGCCCTCCAAGGCCGTCAACTGGCCCGTCACCTACAACCTACTAATAATACCACGGGGGGCCCGCTCAGGCTCCTACTTCGCCCAGTCTGCTCGTCAGTCTGGCTCGTCGGTCTGCCCGTCGCTTATCTCACTCGCGACTCATTATCAACGCCAGAACACATAAAAATTCTGACCCTCGTTTTTTAAGCGACATTGTCGCCATTGCCATTAGCCGCCAGACCGCCACGGCCTTTCTCTCCTTCAGGGCGCCTCTTCATTTTCATTTTCTTTCTTTTTTGCTTCTCTCCGCCATCACGCTCTCTTGTTCTCAACACTGTCAAAAGGCGCCGCCGTTTGTACCTGGCCATCCATCATCCCGTCATCCGTCATCCGTCATCCATCATCATCATCCTGCACAGCATCTAGCATCTGGCCTCACGTCCTGTTCCGACTTTCCGCTTCTCCGCTTCTCACTCGCGGCTGCTGCAAGTCCACTTGCGACGACGCCCGCCTTCTCTTATTCAATAGCACAAACTCGTAACCGGCCATGATGGTCAACCATTGTAGCCAGATATAGACCCCATCCAGTGCCAACGCCTGCCTGGTTTGGACCTTCTCATCAAATTCTGAGCAGAGACTGAGCAGAGTCTGAGTCCCTGTTGGGCTCGACTCATCTCACCTCGCCTGGTCTCGTCTCAGCTCGGCGCCAACCCATCGAGCTCACAACTGCCAAAAAAAATATGGAGCCAGGTATACCCATGATACTGCCCAAGGGCATTGTCATCAACACGACAGACATCTACAAAGAAGTTGCCAGTTACCCCATTGTCCCTGCCCATAAAATATGGGAATACTGGCATGGTACGTGTTGTCTTTCTACAATGCAATAAAGGCTGCCACTATAAGTTTAATCCGCCGCATCGCAGCACATGACCGAACATGATGGCTGACATGACTTCGCGCATAGTGTATACAACAACAAATAAGAAACTCAAAGACCCAACAGCCCGCCGCTTGGAAAACTTTTGGTGGCAGGTATGGGGGAGTGACCGAAGGTATCTGACCGGCCGAGCGTTGGCCAAGATTTATGAAGATATTTCCCTTGGCCCTGCCATTGTTCCCCTTCACGGCCCGCCGAATCGTTGGGAAGGCCCGGGTGTAAGTTGCCTTGGCCAACCGAACCTCCTTCCCCCCGGCTTGAAGATTTGATGCTGATATCTTGCCATAGGTCCCTCCCTTGACCAAACAACTCATAGTCGCTCATCTCAACCGTGGCCTCGAAGAAACCCAACACCGACCAGAGCCGCCTCGGATAAAGTCCAATGACACCTCCATCAAGAGCCTATCATCAAGCGCCTCGAAACCTCCACCATCACATCCTATCTTGAAGAAGTCCAAAAACCCATTGTCTGGACTGTCTGGACCAAAGCCAACAGCTAGATTTGTGTCTCCGCCCGAGTCGGACGATGACGGTGGCAGGGAGAGCGACATCCCCTCATCTGGAAGCACTGCAATAACAGGTTTGGAAATGACAATGTCCACGGAAGCGCCGCCTACAGCGAGGGAAGTATTAGCACCGGAAAACGCATCGCCAGCGGGAAAACAAGCGTTGAATAAAAATGAAAGTCCACAGCTGTTATCAAATTCTGCAGTACAGTCTTCATCAAAAGACGCAGCGTCAACTGCGACAGCACGAAGCTCAACGCAACTCAGAACAGTTTCACCTATCCCTGAACGACCACTGGACAAGGCTGAATGTGAATCTACAGAGCCCGAGGACAACGTGTCAACAGCGCCACATCGCCCAGCCGTTCTTAGCGCCAAGGCAGCTGGTAAACAACCAATGCCATCCCGAAAGATCACGAGAAAGTCGTCAAATCTTTCTCAGGAACCATCTCGCCCACCCATCTCAACGTCTCTAGCGAATTCCAAAGCACGAACAACACCCGACTTGCGCTCCCCAGTATCCACCAGGTCGCTTTCATTGACACGAACTGATACCGATAACTCGTCGACAACCGGATCCATGACCGACTCGGTATCCATGACAGGCCGATCACTATCGCAGAATGGAAATGCACGGAAGGGTTCGTTGTCGCAAGGTCTTTTTACTGGAGCGCTGGTCACTACCACAAACGTAGCCGCGAAGGGGCAGATTATTGATCAGGCGGGATCACTTCCGACGTCAAGTGTTGTTGACCCATACACGGAAGATGATAACCTTGCGTCACGGCCGTCTGCCACTTCTTTACTGGAATCGCGAATGCAGCCCACTCAACCAAGTCCTGCAGCTAGTGTTCCCATGGGTCGGACCAGAAGCCAGCTCACGCTTCTCCTGGAACGAGAAAAGACCAAGAGACACTAATTCACTCGACAATCATCAGTTATGATGCTCAATGTCGACTCACCAGAACGGCATTATGTGGATCGACGAAGAATACGACGTCTTGCCACAGCCCATTTCCCGCCTCTTAATAATGTCACAAACAATTCCAGTAACATTTCAATTCCTTTTTTCTAAAATCATCCACACCTTTTCCACTTCAAGTTTCCCGGCACTAAACCACTGGTCAACCCAATCGAAAGAGAGCAGTGGGCTTGCTTGTTTACGGCATCGGCACATTGTAGCTGTTCACATTTTTTTCTTCCATTACCAGGTTAAATTGCGCAATTGGCGAGCAAACGGCACAAGCTCCACGGACGATAATGATTGTCTTGACGGCGTCTAAAAATAAACCAAAAAAAAAAAAAAAAAAAAAAAGCGCTACATCGTCAGGTGAGATGCTTGTGGTTGGGCGATGTGACTGAGCGCGTGAGTTCTGCACCATCAGGGAAAGCCTGGTCAGTTTAAGCGGCATTTTGCCGTGGGTCGGTCACCAAGTCATGTGATGCCAAATATTGGTTTCGAAGATGGCGCGGATTGACATTGGAATCAACAAAAACTAGATTTACCATTTCATGTTCTAATTGCATACGCCAGCGACAAAATAACAAAAAAAAAAAAAAAAACACAACGCGCTACATCAACGGGGAGTTTGCTTGATATTCATTTTTCTTTTTCTTCTGGTTTTTGGGAGAAAGCACGGATGGTTTCGGTTTCAGGCTCAGGTTTTGGGAAGCGTGTTTGAATTTATGTTTTTTTTTTATAACATGGTTGGGTTTAGCGGAGCATATTTAGTTATCGGATGCCAATGCATAGCTACTGGAGGACATGTCACTGTTGAGATGAGGAACTGATCTAATACACTTGTCGTGCTTTGCCGACATCCATTCAATACGCCTTTGTTCGAGCAACTATCCTTGGTATAGCATGAGTCTAGATGCGCTGCGTGTTTCTGTCGTCGAGGCGCCATGAATTCTTTGTTTTATTCAACTCCAGTTCCAAGTTTGGCATATTTTACATGCCCAGGAGAAAATTTTCAATTTGGCACCACAATAAATATTAGTGAAGTCACTGTTGCTCAACATTTTTCCCATACACGCCCTGCTCAGTATCCAAGGGACAAACAAACAATCGCTCCGACCACCGGCCTCCGAACCCGGCACGTGTGTGCTTCGCCCCCATCCGCACGTATTAACTAAGGATATCAAGGAAATTCTGTTGATGAACCGTGGCATAAACAAGTCTTTGTTCCCTTTTTGACGCCCCGAAACCCACAATGACCCTGACAAAAAAGGTATCCCATGAGGCGAGAAAATAAAAGTCAAGATACGAATTAGGGGATTCCGGCTGGTAAAGGACAAGGGGAAATAAATACGCCCAAGGAGAATTAAAGGAACGGAAACAAATAATGATTTGTACTTTGTTTCATGGGGCGTTGAAAATCACCAAAAGCAAAACACATATAAACAACCAAGACGGGTGGCTGGACATGAAGAGATGAGAAAGCACCACGAAGTCTAGTCGTGGATACCAAACATCCTCCGTAGTGCACCGAATTTCTTCTTCTTGTGTGGTTGAGCTTGGGGCGGCTCAGTGGTAATAAACATGTCGGGGATCTCAGGCACAGGCACCGTGTTATCGACCTCTGGGTGACCGAGACCGACCATGCCCTGCGATGTGCTCCTACGTCGTAGGAAAGAGCTCCTCGCCTTTGATGGTCCGCCAGAAGTAGACGGGCGAGATGGCTCTTTTAACCTGCCATTCTCGGCGCCAGTGCCTTGTTCATCAGGCAATGGCCAGCTTGTACCCCGTTTGTGAAGCGAGTTACTGCGGAGGACCGCCAACTCTTCTGTTGTACGCTCCAGGTCGGTGTCTTTGCGAGCCGCACTTTCGCCAAGATCCCTCGAGATCTTGTCTGCCGGGTCCTTCTTGCGACGCAGTATCGACATAAAACTACCACGTCGGGTGGTAGGCCTGGGCATATCATTCTGAGGCAATGGGCGCAGAGTGCCGCGGCCAGATCGGCTTCGATGAACCGAGGACTGTCCATTGGCAAGGGTGCCGCGTTTTGGTGGCACAATACCTTCATCTTCGTCAGGGAAATCTGGGGATGCCAAATCACGTTGTGGAGAGACCACATTAGAGCCATTACCGTTGCGAAGAGACTTTGGAAGATCCTTGCTCTTCGGCAGGGGAGTTGGCTCATCCTCGTCACTTGAATCAGCAAAGCGGCTTCTGAAGAATGATGGGGCGCCTCCTTCATCCTCGTCACTGGAGTCGGCAAAGCGGCTTCCGCTCTTAGATTTGCTTCCAAGCCCTGACGACTTCTTGAAACTCCCCATCTTCAAACGAGAGCCCGAAGGCTGAGGTCGGTCTCGTAAGGATTGGCGCATTCGGCCGGCACCACCACTCATGGAGGGTGGAGTGCCTGGGGGCAACGAAGAAAACGAGTTACGTCTAAAAGCTGGAGGCGACAACGATCGTAGACTGAAGCGCCGGGTAGGATCACTCGGAGACGATGGCTCACGCATGCTGGCACGCATCGACATTCGGAAATTGTGTCCGTCTCCAGATCCAGATCGCTTGCGTTTAAAACTGCTCTGGCTGTCACCTGAGCCACGGCGTCTCAGTGTGTGCTTGGTGGCAGATGTAAAGGTCAAGTCGTCTAATGACATATTCTGCTTGTGTCCTTTCAGAGAAGTTGTCGTAGCAAGCTGCTGAAATGAGGCAGGTCGTCCAGAACCGGATAACGCCGGCAGCAGAGTCTCACCATGGGTCTGGGAATTTCTCAGCGATTTTCGCATTCCCACAGAAGAGACGGTGGATGGTGTCGCAGCTGAATTTGACCTTGCGACAGTTTCATCCGCGGCTGCTTGCCTGGACACGGCGGTTTTCGCGGGAGGATGACCATTTCTCATTGATTTCCTCATACCGCCTGGCCGCTCGGGGCTTACATCTTGGAGCGATCCCGGTGCATCGGCGCGCATAGACTGGCGCATCGAGGTACGAAGCTTTGGAACTGTATTTTCCGCAGTCTTCGGTTGGGTTGCAACAACTGGAGTCAGTTTGGCAACCTTTATGTCCCGTTCATCGTCACCATCACCGGCAACATCCGACCATTTGGTACCTGGTTGAATCTGGTAGGATCTCTCATCGTTCGTTCCGAGGGAAGGAGCAGTGACTTTCTCGACCTGCTCCTTAGCTACTGGGTTGGTTTCCTTAGCAGCGCCGGCCGCCTCGCCGGTTTCTGAAAGGGCCTCAATTTCCAATTGTCGACGTCTTTCAGTTGAAAGGCTCTTCCAGTATGCCTTGGCATTCTCCCAGTCATCTGGCGCTTCCTCTGCAGGGGTGGAATACTCTCGTTCGCGCTCAAGACTATCCTTGGCTTCCGTCCTGATAGGTTTGTCCTGGGCTTCCTTCGCGACTACCTTGCCGGACGTCGGGCTGTCCACAACAGCATCAAGAGACAGGAAGCCGTCGCCATCAACAGCTTTGAGGTCTTCGTAGGCGTCGCTAAATCTGTCGTTTTCAGTTTCCTCCTCCTCCTCCACAATGTCAGCCATACCAGTGGCAACAGCAACGGGCGCTTCAGTCCGAGTAGGTGTCGACATTCCGGAGCTGTCGGATTCGTCGTCATCGCTATTGTCTCTGGAGGTGTCCTCGTCATCAGGGAAACTTCCCGGCGGCGTTGCTTCACCAGATGATTGTGCGCGAGGGCTTGGGTGGGAAACTGAAATAGTCGGAACACCGCCATTCGCATCCGACTGCGTAGAATTTGGTTTCGTGGGGGTAGCTGGTGGTGTTTCAGATACAGGTTGGCCAGACTCCTTCAAGATAGATGACTCGGGGGCATCTTCGGGCTCGGTGGTTGCGTCGGTATCCAAATCGTCGTCAGAACTCTCCACAGAGTCATCTTGGTTCGCCCCGAGGGGATTCGGAACTGCCGGGAGTGGTTCCCTGAATTTGGAGGCATTGGCAGCATTTCTGGAAGCCAAATCCTGCGTAATAACAGACCCAATCAGGGCATCTGTTGATGGACCTATGCCAGTGGCAGCAGAGTCATTTTCAGTAGGGAACGTGCGGTCTGAAGGACGGACCAGAGGCCGCTCCTCTCTTTCTCTGACCTTCTTTTCTCGAATACTTCCGAATTGCGGCAGAGCCGGTCGAGGGGTCATAGTTTCATCCTCAGCAATGCTGACGCTCTCTTTCTTTGTAAACTTTGACACAACGTTGTGCCATGGCTTTTTGGTCTGAGGACTTGGGATCATTGGTGAATCTGTTTGCTGATGGGCAACGCCTTGGCCAACAACGACTGTGTTCCTGTCATCCCAGCTAACTCGTGCACTCTTCTTCCGGACTAGTGCAGGATCCTCACTGTCTTGGGGGCTCAACTGCCTGGTGCTAGATGCTTCGGAAGAGTCGTCATCGGACGGCGACACCCCTCTGGCTTGAGTTGATAACTTCATGGCTGACTTGCGGGGAGACACTGATCGAGATGGTGGTTCGTGCCTAACAACCAGTTGGTCCGCAGATGACGAGGCAAAGCGCGCGGATCGTGCCGGGCTTTCGGAGTGAACACGAGTTGGGCGAACTTGTTTGTTTGATTTGGTGTCTCTTGGTTCTGGTTTTGTTTGTGCCTCCGACTCAGCTGTGGGAACCGCCACCACAGCTGCTGCCGTTGCTGCTGCTGAATCCATCTGTCCTTGTTCGTCTCCCTGTTTGTCAGTATCCTCTCCCTCGAAGTCCTCATTCACGACGGAAGGCTTCTTGACTGGAGCAAGTCTCGAAACGACGGGTTCCACTTCGTCAACTGGTAGCTCTTTTGTCGCACCAGTAAATTCAGGCTCCGGCGCTGCCTGGACCTTCTTCTTCGTCTTCCTTTTCTTCTTCACTGCGCCATCCTGCGGTTGTTGAACTGCAGTTTCAGGAAGAACAATGGGAGCTGGCTCAGGTTCCTGTCCAACCTGCGGCTCATGCTGGGTTTCTGGTTGCAGGTTTTGCTCCACCGCGGGCGCCTTTGTCCGTCCTCCCACATTTCCTTTAGCAAGATGTGATCCGGCTCTGTTCGCGCTTTGCTTTTTCCTTTTCGGCTGTTCCGGCATCTCCAGCGCAGTTTGCGAGCGAGCTACAACTTCGCTTTGGGGGATCATTCGTCGTGAGTTGGGATCGTAGACAAGGGTATCGTCGACTGAGGGCGTCGGAGACAGGGCTCTAGATCGGGGATAGGAGAAGTTGATGGATGGGCTGACGCTGCCGGGTCGCGGATCGTGGACGTAGGTGGCAGACTGTATTGCAGCATTGGCGTGTCGAGGACTGGTAGATTCTCGAGCGGTCGCGCCGCCAAACCATGTCGCCTGACCATCCTTCATTTTCTGACTCGCTATTGTAAATGGCTGTGTCTGTAGGACAGGTCCTCTTGTACCCTTTGTGTGTCCGTTAGTGTGCTGGCTGGCCATGATTTGGTCAACACTGGGCAATGCAGGGACAGGTGGCACGTCGCGCTCCCTTGGAGCTGGACTACGACCTGGTGAAGGTGTACGAAAGGTTCGCTCCATCATGGAACCCACACTGGGGGTTCTAGTGAGCTCGCGACCTCCTCTCACACTGCCGGTGAGGGAAGTTAGGGAAGGGCTTCTCCTGTGTGCTCTTTTTGACTGTACCTCGGCGACATTCGTCGGAGTCATCGGCCGCGCCCTGAGAGCCGCAGCGGCGGCAGCCGAAGACAAGGACGAGGTCGAGTCGCGTCGACTCATGAATACCGCTGCTGCTGCGGTGGCGGCATTGGGGTTCGCCGTTTCCCTGGTCAGGGGCTATTGCAAGTAATTTGTTAGCACGATTATCCAATCGCAGAGAGTTTGAGTGCGTCTGTATCTTGCGGCTCGTTTTCCTCTTCTCCCGACGAAGCATGCCGACAACAGCTAGGACTGAATTGAAGGGCCTATGGCACCCCGCGCGCTGTCGCACCAAACTGTATACTCGACCGGCGGCAAAGCTAGGCAGGCCAAATGCTCGGCTAGGAAGAGATACAAGCGACTGGTGTGCTGCGACATCTTCTTATGATGGAATTGCCCAACAGGGGACAAGGGATATTGCAACTTACTTGGGCGGGAGGCTGCCGCCTCCGTGAGCCGCCAAACATGACGGGCTAGATATGATGAAATGGAGAGAAAGGCTCGCGACCGAACGGGATGGAGCTTTCTCAACAGCAGCAGCTAGGCATAGGAGTCGATGAGCACGAGGTAGTGATGTGTAGGAGAGCTGAAGATGTAAAAGGCAAGTCAGGCGCAGAGCAATAGAAACAAAAAAGGTTTGGGCAAATAAACAAAGTATGATGGGGGTGTGGCGTGTGGGATAATCAGATGGACGCGGTAAGGATGAAGAAAGAATAAAAAGGGAAAGCTGCTGAAGAGAGGCTCGGCGACGGAGGAAGGGCGATCAGGATGCTTAGTGCGAAGCGTAGGGCAAGGCGGACAAGAGCGGTTCGAAGGTTTGTCGCCGTTCGACGGTAGCCAGTGGTGAGGTGTGAGGGCTTGAGGCGTGGAGGTACGAAGGTTTTGGGATGCGAAGCAGGCAAAAGGTTAACTAATCAAGGCGGGCGTGGAGGAGCACTTGAGCCCGGTGGTTGGTCCGTCTTGGACGGAAGGAGCCAGGCATGAAGAGCATGAGAACATGGGAGCTTCGGGAGCATGGAACATGGCGTGCACACCCAAGTGGCCGTGGTGCCACAGACATGCTCAATACTAGTCAATGACCAATGAACTTCAACCCATGTCAAAGTGGAGCATTGGAAGAGCCGCTTTGCCGAATCGAGGCAGCCAATGGAGACGGAAGGACCATCGAGGGCCTATCAAGGCGCAAGAAATGGACGGCGCAGCGACTCGACCAGCTCGACGGACATTTCAGCATAGCGATGACGACACCGTCCTGGGACGTCCAAGCGCGCCCCCGCTAGCTCAGCTGTCTTGGGTGATGTCGTGGACTCGTGGAGCAGCGACAGGGCTAGCTGCTCTAGCGAGTCAAACCGTCCTTGTAGCGCTCACGCAGCGGCGCCCCGCCACGCATTACAGAAGCTGCAATATTGCCATGGCGCATTAAACCGCAGCGACAGCGCGTCGGACCGCAATCACATTACCACTAGAGCTCTGGATACAACCAGACACTACACTTGATGTAAGAGTAACTCACTATAATCCGCCCCAGCGCCTAGCCAGAGTGGTCAACTGAGAACTCGCATGCACCGATTGCTCTCCCGACTAGCGGGCCTGGCCGTACGCATGGTAGGCTAGACGGTTTTGGCTGGCGACTCGCTGTTGAAATCCAGCAAGGATGACATCAGTAATCGGGCATTCTTTAGTCGTGGTCATAAGAGTAAACGTTTTGACGGTAGTCATGGAGGTTCTTGGCGGTGTGAATTATCATTGCCCCTAAAAATAGTATTGGCGAATTGTGTGTAGTTAAAGCACCGGCAGGAGAAAGTTGTCAGTTTGACAGGTACCATGATAGACTGTGTTATTCTCCCCGTCATTAGCCGTGATATGGGAATTCGCCAGTAATCCTGGTTGGTCAAGATGACAGCAGCGGCTGCACCAGCTCCCTTGATAGTAGGGCTGTCCATTACAGAGACAGAAAAGGTAAAATTGGTAATGGTGACAACCGAGGCTGCCGGCAGACGCCTTCAGCAGACAATATCCTGGTACAGGCAGTGCCAGACTTGGGGGAATCATGTCCTCGGGCAAAAAAAAAAGGGTCGGCAACATTGACCTGATCGAGACTACGGAGTATTCCAAGGCGTGGCTCCAATCTCCTGGGCTTGACCACGACAAGGTTCATATGATGATACTACGAGTAATTACTCGTATGAAGTTTCGGGCGCCGAGCAATTCACGTAGTTTCGGTCTCGATTGACGAATCAGTCGATTAGCATGAAATGACCACTATTAAATGTTGGTACTGTGGGCTGGCCTGCGGACCAAGACGAGGAACTGGCAACCCCACCACACTGACACTTGCAAGGCACCGTGAGCATTGGGCCGAACCGACACGCCGGGACAGCCCGTAGTGTTTCCATTTTGTCGTCGGCAAATTCATTGCAGTTGAGTCCGGCGTCTATAGCACAATGTAACTATTTTCAAGGAGTATTATCCCAAAGTTCATTCCATCATCCAGGCCCGACAACCACGGGCCCCCTGGCATGCCTGCTGTCCGAAAATATTCGCAGCATGTCCTCCATCATAACAGTTTCGTACTACGTAAAGTTATGATTGTGCCTGTCAATAATAGTAACACAGCCTCCCTGGCAGTCACACACGTACGTCAAGTTACACAACAAAGGACGGACAGACAAGAAAAACTTAAAACCCAAAAATCATGCATGCGCCGCCCGCCGCTCCATGCTCTGTGATACCTACTCTTGGGCTTCTTATTCCCACAATGCAGCAAAGACACGGAACACGCCATGAACTCCTCTTGTCTCAACTTCTTTTCTCGATCTGTCCCAGACCCCTCTCAGCCCTTGACCCCTGCGCGGGGAGGGGGCGGAGCTAAGCCCCATTGCCATTCATTGCTCCATTGGGAAAATTAAACTGGGACTGAGGAACAGCGACGGCGCGCCCACTTCAATTTTCATGCCAACAGGTGAGAATACATACACATTCTGCCACGGTTTTATCATAATGCCAATGTATCAATCAGCTGGCGATGGGGCATTCGAGTTAGTCTGTATTACCCCAAAGTAACGCTTGATTTCCCCTGCCCTGTTGTTCAAGTCGAGTTCAAGATTGAATTACCGAAGCTTGGATGAGTGACGTAAACTGTTCCCACTTTTTGCCGAATCAGGACATGCATATTCAGCTACCTGTAGGGTCGTGCTAATCGTGCTACCAACCCTAGCTATTCGTGCTACTACCGCTCGATTTGGCCTAGTGGCTAACTGCCCACACCCCACCATACATTTTCACATACACCCACATGGTCGCGCCCGCTTTTTAAAAATTCAATCGGTATTTAATTTAAATCTATCATTTTTTCAATAACACGAGCTCAGGCGAGTAATGGTAGGGCTTAAATCGCTTAAAAACGCGATTTTCGGTGTTTTCAATAAATGTGTACACATTCACGGGCCGTCAATTATTCCGCTGCCGCCGTGGGCGCTGCCTGGGCTCCCAAGGGGTCATCCATTAAAGCTGCGGCTCTTCCGGCTGCGTTTAAGGGATAATTTCCTTAATTTCCGGCGACTCTAATACTATTGCTTGCTTCGTGGCTTGTCTACCTGTTGATCGAGTTTGTGTGCGATTTACAGCGTTTCCTAACCGCGCCTGCAACCGTATTATAAGTCTTCTTTATTATTACGTCTTAAATCGTTTAATTAATTCGTCTTACGTTACCGTGCGTTATATGCTTGGATTGGTTTATCGGTAACCTTAAGAGCCTAATTAAGGCCTTTAACTTGGCTATTAACTGCTATTATTATCAGAATTTTAGTGTTATTATGTATTTAAGGGTGTATTTAAGGGCAGTGGGCGGCGTCTTCTACGATTAATCCTATGGGGATAATGAATTTAAAGATATGAAGCGTCGAAAGTCTATGGGTTATTATTAGGTATGTTTTCTATGATAAATTAATGGGAATTAAAATTAAAGCTTACTAGCGGCTTTATAAGCCACTAATAATAAGGAATATCGCTCTTTTATAAGAGCTATTATGCTTATAGCTTCGGTAAGATAACATGTGCATAAGGCAGCATGAATTAGTGTGTAAAAGAGTAATTTTTCTCATAAGGTTACTGCAGCTTAATTTTTCGATGTTATGCGATGGCTACAGCCTGTTTTTTTGTTATTATGAGGCATTTTCGTGATAACCCCCTTATTGCCAGGGCAATGTATGTGAAATTGTATGGCGGGGCGTGGCAGGTTAGGGTGTAGGCCCAAAATCAGGGTGGGGCGGTAGCACGAATAGCTAGGGTTGGTAGCACGATTAGCACGACCCCTAGTAGGTAGTGACTTACAACATTCCGTTCGTTTCATAGTCACGCAAAACCACAATCAACTGGCTGTTTACTTAGTCGCTGAGGGGTAGTTACCAGGTCACGTCAGATCACGGCTTTTTCGGTGTGCTTTCATGTATTGGCTCGCCTACAGTTTCAATTCTTCAACAGTAGACATGTAACTCTGGACAATGTGCTTCTAAAGCATTCATCAGTATTCATGTAATCAGAGGTTTCCAATCAACGACCAACCACCAGACTACCAACGCATTCGCTTCGGCCGTCTGACTGACTTGCCTTATTTCGAACCCTTTCCCCACCGATCAGGCTCGTTTGCTAAACATCCCGCTTGAGGCTCTGAATTTCCAACTCAGAGTGCCCATGTAGTAAATATGCCGAGAAGGTGAATGTGACCCATTGCTTTCCAATGCTAGAACGAAAGGCTACCCCGTAGCCTTCGCATTCACGCAGGTACAACAAATAATGCTCTAAACATTCGACGAACTGACTTGCACTACGATTCGGCTTGTTCTTGCTCTGAAGTCCCGCCTCCATCTCCTTCTTGATGCAAGGGATGTAGCTGCGGGTGAACTTGGTCATCGGCGAGCCCATCATCGCATTCCTCTTCGGATTGAGTAGAATGACTCTGCTCGTGATGCATGGAAGGTGCCTGGTGGTCATCAATATAGTCCGACGGCATGTGATCGGGGTGGTGATGCCCGCTGGAGCTGCCTTTGTTAAGGGCTTTGTTGGGCTTCTTGCTCTTCCTACTCTTAGCCTTCGCCTTCTCCATGAGTCGCTTCCAGTCAGCTTCTTTGCGGCGATGTCGACGGTCTTTTATCTCAAACGCTCGAATGAGAACTTTGGGGGGTTCGCCAAAGATCCGTTCATACTCGCAGAACTCGCAAATCCACACATCTTCAGGTTTTGGCGGGTTCTCATGCAAGTTTTCCTCCGCAATCTGTCGTCGTCGACGAGCGGCCATCTTCAATTCTCGATCCAGCTGACGGCGAGTCCTTCTGAGTGATTGGGAGCTCGTTGCTGCTTGTGAAATGTCGTTACTTGTACTATTGTTCATGTTTGTGTTGGAGTGCATATCGGGGCCGTGGGTTGCAATGTCGTCTCGAGAATGGTTGCCTACAGTCGGGGTGAGTATTCGCAGCATTTTCTTTTTTCATTGGCTGCATAGAACATAGGACGCTTACCTGGCCACTGCACAGTTCCTGGAACCTGAGAATCACACGTAAAAGTGAACTGTGCTGAGGCTGGCGTGGACTTGGACGCGGAAGAGTGTTGCTGTAAAAGGCTGACGTTCTCTTGTCCCTGGGGAGGGAGCTTCCCAGCGTTTGCGATAGCACTAGAAATAATGCCAACACTATCGCTACCTGTGATAAACTTATTGTTAAAAATTTCAATTCAAGAAATAGGGCAAGTGTCGTGATGCTAGGCATGGCGAACGAAAAAAATGAACAAAGCGGAGTGAATGTGAGCAGTGAGCTTTCATTTGGTTGCTCCAGCTCGCTCGACTCGTGGCAGCTGTGGGAGACAGGGCCGGCCTGAAGCTTTGCCAAAAGAAACACCGGGTAACATGTCGACTAACAGTTGCAAAACAAGGGTGAACTTACCTGCTGGCCAATGAGTTGTCCCAGCCTTCGCGCCTCTACTGGTCCAGGTGGTGTTGCCATCTGGCAACGTTCGAAGCGGGGTCCTAGCATTCCCAGATCGTCCGAGTCTGCCCCTGCCAGGCCCAGAGAAGCCTTGATTACCGGCAGCATACGACGTTGATGCTTGGTAAGTATTAGAGCCCGCGTAGCTTCTCTCAGTGCCGTGGTCAGCGTCTGCTGGGGGTGAGGTGGCAGCAGAAAGTCCCAGGCCATTCATCTCACTGCCGTGTCCATGGGTCCCATTGGTTGACGACTCTCCAGCCGACGGTATCTTTCTTTTCTTTTTATTATTTGTATTTTCGAATGAATCATATCCATCCAGAGACGGGGTAGCAGAAGGTGGTGGTTGTGGTTCGACCTGTCGTGGCTGTTCTTGTCGAGCTGCTTGCCGGCCTGACAAATTCAAAATTTCAGGAGACGTTCTTGCAACAAGTGTGCTTCGAGCTCCGATATGACCTTCCTCCCCAGCCTCTGATTGTACGCCATATCGTTGTGATGTGACACCACGATTTGAATCGTCCAGTCGTCCAGGTTGTATTGGGTCAGAGAGAACACTAGTGAGCTGGCTGCTCCCTTCCTTGGCTTCCTTGACTGTGTATGGAGGATAGTGAAAGAACGGAGCGTTTTCTCGCGTCGACACAGGGTACCTTATCGAATCAGCAGCTTCTGGGGACAAGCGTTCTCGGAGTCGACGTTTCGGCAGCGGCCGAATGGGCCGGTCTGGGAATAGTGACGACACTGTATCGGGTGACATCATCTGGCTACGCCCTGTCCAGCGCCATCGAGGTCGAAGTGTTAGCCAACAAATCACCACCGATACGAAGATTCCGGGTAGAGAAAAGTCTTGTTTGAAATGAATGAAATTAAATGCAAATCGGAACAAGGACCAAATTGATAAAGCCATTTTCCTAGGATTGCCCCGCACTTGAACGGGCTTATGGAGTCGACAAAGAGGCAGAAGATGGGCAGATGGGTTCATGATGAGATGTGAGAAGTGTTTCGGGCCCTGTGGTGAATATCAGAAGGGAAAGCGTACCCAACCACCATGGCCGTCCCAAGATCCCACACGACGCAGGAGCAGACCCAGATCTATGCCGCCTTGGAGCGAAATGTCGAGCTGGCTGGCAGCTGCGTTGCTCGCCGCAATATGCGCCAGTTTCAGCCAAGAACTGAAGTGTCAACACTGCGAATATTCCGTACCAGGTCGTTGTGTTTTAAAGGTTCGTCGGATTCGGATCGGGCTTCGAAGGCGGCGTCTGGTTACGGGTCAGAAAACTGGCTGGTCCTCTTTTCGCCCACGATTTGTGAGAAAATACAGGGCACAGGTAGCTTGAGGAAACCCTCTGTAGTGTTCATGCCACCACTCAGCCCTGAAGGGAAAGGGTGCGTGGCGACTCCGGGGCCGAGATGCGATCTTACCAGTCTGTACAGCACGGCAGCGGAGGAGAAGCAAAATGAGGGACACCTCGGCCTGACCACAGCGGACGTTAAGTGACTGGTAGCAAACGATGAGCCGTGAGTCGTGGAAAAGACGCCAAGTGGGAGAAGAATAAGCCAAGCAATGCTGCAAAAGGTGCAAACGGAGAACAAAGCCGCACAGTTGGTTTGGAATCGCCTACCTCAGACGTTGCACTTTGGATTGCAAATAACAGCATTTGATACAGCCGCTGTGTGATTATAGGAGGTGTGGCACCGTAGGCAGCGCCCGGATGCTCGCACGGAAGTGGAGTATTAGGTAAGCAGCCATGGCTTGGTTGCATTGCGTCAGCGACCGGGCAGCAGATGATGGAGGGGGAATGCATCTCTACAGATTCTAGAATACTCTGTATGGTTAGATCTTCGATTTTTTCCCACTCTTGGATTATTTTCAGGCCATGGCTGGCAGTATAAAAGAGAGAGAGTCGCCTTGGTATCATGTCTGATGGGATAAGCCTTAGTTGGTCATCCCACGTCAGGGCACTCGACATTGAACCAGTACCAGACCGAAGTAGGGAGTGCTCTGTACTCCATTGGTTAGTGGGGGAGCTGGGGTCGGGTCATTGGCGGCTTCAGAACCGAGATTCTCGAGCCCTCAAGTGTCCGTAGTAATATTAGCGTACAGTGCAGGATTAGCCGAGCCTTTGCCTGCGGATGCAGTGGACGGCTGACCAGGCCCAACCATGTCCAAGCAAACAGTCACTGACTTCCCGTAGTGGGGGCCGCATGTAGCCGGGACCTGTGGCGTATCTGGATCGCACTCTGCAAGACGTTGTGCTGTTTAGGCTGCAAGTCCCGGTACCCTGCCCTAGCTTCTCTCGGGCCACCACGTCCACAACGCAGGTGAGTGCGCGTAGGGTCTGGCCGGCCTGCTACTGCGTGCACCACTCATTCGAGGCGTGGTCGTGCGGCCGCCGTCCCCAGTAAGGCCGGCCCCATTGCGCGCAAAACACCCCAGCACCAGCACTTGGGCGGCCAAGACCAAGAGGGCAAGCAGCACTCGAGAGCGCAGAGAAGCAGAGAGCACCAGACCACAGCGCCGGCCCTCCTTCAGCCGCCTGCCGTCCGTCTCGCTTTCTTTCTTCCTGCCCTCCTTCACGATCTTGTCGTTTGCCATGAGCACGCTGCTTCGTTCTCTGGCCTACTACGTCATGACAGCTCACCAATCCGTCCTACCTACTCGTTGTTGTTTCCCCAAGCCATCCTCGTCGTAACCAGCTCGCACTCGTCCTTGCTGAAGGTGTCTGGCCTGGTGCACCAGCGACAACTCAGCCATCAGCTTGGCCGATTACTCAACCCACCAATTTCTCGCAAGATAACCTTCATAGCGTTGCTCCGAACACTTCCAATCTCTACTCTGCACGCTCTCCGCCTGCCACAACACTCTGCGAGCGGTGCTCTCTCCTGCCCTCCTCGCTCCCTCGCTCCCCGCCGCGCTCCCCTCCAGAGCCATCTCTTGGTTCAATGGCACCACCGTCGCCGCGGCGATCCTCGAGAGCCCGCGCGACCAATTCCCAGTCCCAACAGTCGTCCTCGTCATCGGGGACATCTGGGCGCCTGGAAAGAAGCACCAGATCAGTCAATAAGCCCTCGTCGGAAAAGTCTACTCCCAGCGCTTCGCTGTCCTCAGAGCCGCTCGACGACCTTGACGACACCCTCCTAGGCAGGAGACGCAAACGCGGTCAGAACGACGACACCGACCGAAATTCCCGGAGCGAAAATACAGACATGGCCAATGGTAGCGACGACCTTCAGGACGACGAGGACGAGGCAGTCCGCTGCCTTTGTGGCTCGGAAGATTACCCTGGCCCTCCCCCCGTTGACAGCCCCGACGCCGAGATTTTTGCAGCTATTGATCTTACCGACGAAGTTACTGGCTTTTTTGTCCAATGCGACATTTGCAAGGTCTGGCAACACGGGGCGTGTGTTGGCATATTCAGTGCCGAAAGCTCTCCCGATGAATATTTTTGTGAGCAGTGCCGCAAGGATCTTCACAAGATCCATACAGCAGCTAACGGGTGAGTCTCTTCATGAACCCATCTTCGTAATGAATCCTATTGTTTTGCGTGGCCAATTGAACCCAGCGCGGCCTTTTACAAATGGTTTCGAATGGTTGTTGCTGCGAGTCGGTCGAGCCGGATGCGCAAGGGTTTTCACACCCACCAGCATCGCACACATCACAAACCACACATTTGAATACCAAAAAAAATTCTCAAAGACTAATCACGAAGATTCAAGAACAAAATATTCAAAATATATCCCATTGAATCGCGCTTCCCGCGCCACCTCGCGAGCGACATCTATTGCCAAAGACGACAAGAATGGATCGTCCAAAAACTCCCGACCAAGCACTGCTACACAGTCGTCAAAACGACGATCTACGATGAATAGCCGCGATGCAGCCTACGATGACGAACAATTACGCCGGGCGATAGAGGCAAGCAAAGAAGACAACGCGCTCGAAACCGTGGAAGGTGCTACAAGGCGTGCAAAGCGCGGCCGTAGTGACAGTGAAGAGTTTGTCTGCCTCGCATAATGTATTACCTAGTACACGGCTGACATCCACAGCAGTAACAACAATGCCAGCATTAAGCGCCAACGCACCAGTTCTCGGTCGGCCTCACCACCCGCCGAGAAACAAGAACCTGTAGACGAACAAGTGTCTGACGACGAGACGGAAACCCGCAATGGGGCCAAGAAATCGAAGAACAACCAACAGCACAGAGAAAAGTCGGAGAAAGAGGATAGAGAACGTCAACGACAGGAAGCCGCAAATAAACGCAAGGGGCGGGCAGAGCGCCGGAGGGCAGAAGGTAAGCTCTTTTCCCAGACTTCGTACGCGGACAGCAAAGTTACTGACCTGCTGTACCTAGACTCTGACCTTTCTGAAGAGATGCCCTTGGCAGCTGCCAAAGCAGTGCAGCAAAAACCAGCGGAATCTCCAAGCAAGGAGGAGTCCCCATCCGTCGCCCAACCCCCAGGAACTCCTCCTCCGACCCATCCGACAGCCAGCAGTTCTCATAAGAGAGGAGCTCGGGCGAACAAAAGGGGAAAGGGGAGGAACCAGTATTCCAAGGACCGCGATCAAGACGACGAGTCTCCTGCACGATCCATGTCTAGGGATATTCAGAAAGGCGATGAAGCCACAACAACCGGTCACTCCAAGTCGTCAGTTAACGAACACAAGACCTCCAAGGCAAAAGCATCGACGACGAACAAAATGAGCATGCTTGATATGAAGCGCCGCGTTGCAGCTCTAATGGAGTTCATTTCCAGGACGCAAGTTGACCTAGCCGCGGAGGCCTCCTTCAGTCAGAGCAGCAGTGGCCGAGAGACGCCACAGGAGAAGCCCGAACCGAACCAAACAAACGGCAGCACCGTCAATGGTCATACTCCAGATCCTTTCGATATGAGTCGCTTCAAAGGCCTGAGCTGCATGGAAATGATGGACGTTCTGACACGTGTTATGGTCAAATGGCAGAACCAGTATTCATGACGGCAATGGCCCACGATTGGTGTATTTTGTATTCTTTTAGCAAGTGGGGAGGATTCGGTTTCTCTGGGAATTTTGGTTTTTTTTTCCCTGCTTTTTGCCTCATACTTTGGGATTTCTCTCCCCTGGGAGTTTGGCAAAAGACTGTATGATACTGGCATGACTTTTCTAAATAGCGGCGTTGGGGATGGGTTTGTTTTGCATCGTCGGCGTCCTGGCGGGCTCGGCATATTCACGACGAAGACCAAAAAAAGACGAACAAGGCAACCATGTGGTACTCTCGTTTGAGGGTTCTTGGTGCGATTGCCCACGGTTCCGTCATTGTCTGATTTCCACAACATTGTTGCGGGCAGCTTTTATCTTTTTTTTTTCTAATATACCCATTTTTTTCCCCTATCTTTTGAGTGATATGAAAATCGACGTGCTTGTGGGCGACATTTCGCGCCAGGTTTGGTACAGGATATTCTGGGCGAGAGTCAGAACTCTTCTTTTTTGTTTGGCCTTTTGGCCTTTTTTTTAGATATTTCAGCCCACAGTCGAGGCTTATAGCGGTTTGTCTATCAACGCGTATATTATACAGATACTCTTACAAGCCGTCTCCCTCGTGTTCGTCCAGCTCCCCCCCTTCGGCCCACAAAGACCACCGATTAGTCTCCTAGTCGCTCTCGTTTCCTCGCCTCCTTCTGCGCCTTCTTGGCCTGGTGTAGACTCAGTGCCGGGCGCGCCAGCATCAGGTCGTGGGCGCGGATGTCGGCCTCGCCCAGCTCGTCCAGCACGTGCCTGCCCAGCTTGCCGTCGCGCCACTGCGACAGCACCCTCGCCGCGGCCTCCTGCCAGTTGGGCGCGCCGCCGGCCTTGAGCTTGCCGTCGCGCCGGGCCACGGCCGTCAGGAACTCGTTGACGTCGTTTGTCGGCTCGCAGTAGCGCCGGTACAGCGAGGGGTCCCACCGGTTCATGCGGAACAGGAGGTAGTCGGCGAGCAGCTCGTCGGGGATGAGGCCCTTTTTGACGCCGTGCGCCAGGGCGACCTTGACCATGGTCTCGCCGTCCTCGACGTAGGGCTGGAAGATGCCCGGCGTGTCGAGCACCAGGACGCCGGCCGCGACGCCGCCCCTGTCCTCGGGCTCGACGACGCGCACGGCCGTCCCGACCCTGCGCGTCACGCCGGCCTGGTCGCCCGTCCTGGCGGCCTTTGCCTTCCTCCCCGGCGTGCCGGCCCTCCGGAGCGCGTTGAGCAGCGTGCTCTTGCCGACGTTGGGCATGCCCACCACCAGGGCGCGCAGCCCCGTCAGCGAGTCCTGCGACTCGGCCGTGCGCTTGAGCCGCCTTAGCAGCGCCTCCGTGGTGGCGGGCTTGTTCTTGTCCCAGAAGACTGCCTTGTCGCCGTGGAGCCGCCTCAGCGTGCTGCGCGCGCCGGGCGTGTCGGCGCCCAGGTCGCACTTGGTGTACACGAGGAGGCGGTCTCGGCCGGAGATGGTGCGCTCCAGCGTCGGGTTGTGGGTGGAGAGGGGCAGTCGGAAGTCACGGCATTCGAGGACGAGGGATATGCTAGAGAGGAGCGTCTTGATCTTGTTTGCACCGGCGTGGTGGTGGCCCAGGAAGTACGTCTTTGGGACGGATGACGGGATGCTGAATGTGTCGCGGGGCACGAAGCGCGCCATTGTGAAAGATGTCACCTCCTGCGGGGGTTGGTACACATTTTTCTGTTAGAGTGGCGCGCAATTGATGGGATGTGCTGGGTATATGGTGTTTTGAATAACTGGCGTCACGGCGTCATGAGAGCTTGATATGAAACTGATTGATGTTGTATGGCAATCTTTTGGCTATCAAGTCTCGCTTTCTGGCATGGGTCCTTGCGCCACAAATTGAGGTTGCACGTGTAGATAAGATAAGAGTCAGACGGCCGCTGACGTCATGTCTTGCGTGCGTGAGGACTCTTGATCGACGCCATCCAGTAGCCATGGCCGATGTCGCCACGGGGTTTTTGCAACAGTCTTGGCTTTTCAAATTGTTCGGGCATCGTTCCTACAAAGTTGAAATTCGACCGGAATAGTTGATTCTTGGCCATGCTTGGCTTTAGCATGTACAGTTATGCTTGGACCAATGACGCGGGGCCTTTCAGCCGCCCGAGTCTCATAGTCTCGGATGGGAGGCATAGAGAGCTCGTTGCATGCCCAGTTTAGTTATGGACAGGATTAAGCATACGTTTAGCCTTCTAGGTCAAGATTTTGTCCACCCATGCCTGTGACAGACGCAAGATACTTTGGCCCAGGCGGCAAGCTTAGACCCTTCCGCCTCCTCAGACAGGACGTCACCAACCTGCGCCAACGATACGTGTCAGACTGGACGGTATTCAACCAGCAAATCGTTGCCAGCGCAGTGTACATCTTGTTCGCAAACATTTTCCCGGGGATCACGTTCGCAAGCGACTTGTACGTACTCACGGGTCAATCATGGGGCACTACCGAGGTGGTGTTTAGCACCGGCCTAGTATTCGCCTTGCGAGTTCAATATCACTCATCCACTCACTCGCTCGCTCGCTCTCATAATATAACGAGACATCTTACACCTTCTTGCTCCAGTTTCTCCTCGCAGCCTCTGACCATCCTCGGTGTGACGGGTCCCTTTTCGGTGTTAGAAAACGTCTTCAAATTGTGCTCAAACAGCTTCCATGTCAGTTCCCACGCCACACACACATACACACACATACACACACACACACACATATATATATATATGTCTCTCACAAACGCCTCGCTAAATTCTTCACAAGGTCGACTTCCTCCCCGTAATGGCATGGTCCCTCATCCACGCGGACTGGATGCTCTTCCCCTCGCCATCTTCAACGCGCACGCGCACGACTGGACAATGCAATACGTGACACACTTCAGCGCCGACATCTTCTCTCTCCTCAACAGCGCCATCTACTTCCACAAAGCGGCCGTGGCCCTGCAGCGTACGCACGGCACCGTATCTCTCGCCGCATTCATACACGGCCGTGGGAACCTGCCTGGTCGCCGTGCTGCTGTCAACCGCAAACTCGTGGAGCCTGTTCCACAAGTACGTCAGGATCGGGCTCTCTGAATACGCGGCCGCCATCTCGATTGTTTCGTGGATCGGGATTCCACACATTGGCGAGCTGGTCCAGACCTCTTTTCGGCCGTCGAGCCCCCCAGCCGGGCCGCATTCTTCGTGGAATTTTGAAAACTGCCCGTGAAGTGGGTGTTCCTGTCAGCCATTCCCGGCGCCATCATTACCGTGCTCTTCTACTTTGACGACGAGATCAGCAGCATAATATGCACCGTTGAGAGGTACGGCGTGCGCAAGCCAGGCGGATACGCGTGGGACATTACCCTGCTTGGGCTCACGACTGTTCTCTGCGGCGTTTTGGGCATTCCGCCCGCAAATGGGCTATTGCCGCAGGTCCCATTGCACACGGAATCGTTGCTACACCACATTGATGAGGGGTTAGCTGAGGAAGACGCCGATGGAACATGTGCCGAGGCTGTGCGACCGGTGGCTAGGACGCATGAGCAACGGTACTCACATTTCATCCAGGCCGCCATCATTCTGGTGTTTGTCTCGCCTCCGCTCCAGAAACTGCTGGGTTCAACGCAGACTTCTGTCCTGGCAGGGGTTTTCATGTTCATGGGCTATCAGTCGCTTACCGTGAATCCCATCCTCGACAGAATCTGCCAACTACTCACTCCTAAATCTGAACTGCCGAGTTTACCAGACGGCGTGACTTGGTCGGGGACCCACAGCTTCACCGGTACACAGCTTATCTTGACTGGCATCGTGTTCGGCGTAACGCTTATTACCGTGGCCGTGCCTGCATTCCCCCTCGTAATCATTGCCTTGGTACCACTGCGATTGACCGTGATGAAGCGTGCTTGGTAGGCAGAGACATTGAGGTTCGCTGATGGCTGGGCATGTCGGCCCGGAAGACCGGAGGATGAGCCGCATGCAGGGCAGGTAATGATGACCGAGGGCGAGGAGAAAGGTCGAGACTCTGTTGTGAGATCTGACACTGTAGATGTCTAAAATGCAATACAACTCAATATTACGAATAAAAAAGAAAATAACAACCAGGTGACAGGTTTTTCAGCTGGAATAGGTTGTGATACTCCAAACTTATCATGGCTCCAATCAAAAAAGCTTATCGCACTTGTATCCCTGAAGCATCATCTGAATGGAACATGTTGATAAGGAACACGGGCTCACCAGGCAATTTTCGTCCGTATTGAGCCCCATTCCCCCTTTGGTGTTCTTCTTCTTCTTCTGCTTCTTCCATTTTTTTTATAGCAAGCTTTCTGAGTTAATATGGCCCTGAAAATAACTGGTAAAAGCGCCATTGTTACCGGTGGCGTTTCAGGTGTGTAAAAGAGCCATGTAGCAAATAATGAAACCTGGAGGACCACATCTTAACAGGACCCAATAACAGGTTATATGTCTGTGCTTTGCGAAACTTCTCCTTAGCAAGGGCTGTTCTGTTGTTATTGCCGACATCAGCCTTCGCCCCGAAGCTAAACAACTTCTCGAGGAGTACCGCCAAGACGACCCGCGTGCAGTCGATGGCTCGGACCGGCCGTTAAAACCCGCGGTAATGTGGACATTGTAGTACCCGGCGCGGGCATCTTCGAGCCAGCGTGGAGCAGTTTCTGGAAAGCTCCCAAGACCGACACCAATCCCGATATGCAATCGCGAGATGCCGGGGACGCAGGGCCCGGTCATTACGCATCATTGACTTGAATCTAACCGCACCATTTCGACTGAGCCAGATGGCCATTGGACCCTGGGCCACGAATCGGCAGAAAGGCTGCTTAGTGCTTGCGGGAAGCATTGCTGGTTATTTAGACCTGCCGATTCAGCCGTTGTACCACACGACGAAACATGGTATACACGGGTTTGTGTCGTGCATGGCCCCCTTCGTGACGCACTGGATATCCGAGTTAGCGCCCTAGCTCCCGGTCCAATCAAGGTATGTGGCCGACGATATATCCTCCTGTTCGTCATTACAACTTACCACTGACTGATTTGGCTGGAGACCTCGATATGGGATCAGATATTCACCGTGTCAAAAGATATGAGCGACAACATGGCAAGGATCGATTTGCAGGGCGTTGCCCGGGGCGATGTATCAGTTGGTAGTGGATGAAAAGATGGGCGACGGAACGATATTGGAAGTCCTAGCTTCGGGTACCCGAATTCTACCCAGGTTTGCTGGTGCCTCTGAGGAGCTAGTCAACTCAACCGTGAGCGGATCTCTAAAGGCCGAGGAAATATTCCTGGCTGACTTGAAGGCGAACGGCCTACGAGTCTAATTTCGCTCCGTTCAAGCTGCAGTCTCGTTAGCTTTTTGTATCTTGGTAAACTGAACAACACAGGCTCTGCGACTAGTTTCCGTTATCAGATTGGGTCGCAAAGTCGCAAAGTTGAGAATTAGTGTATATTTCGCTGACAAAATATCGAGCTCTGAACGGATTCTGTCTGTAGTAATAGCGTAAATGGCCTTGAAAATGGTAGAGTCCTTGCTCGTTTAGAATCTCGTTTTCAGTACGCTAGACTCCAAGAAGATCTGAGGGCTTGTCTACTGCCACTCCCTTCAGCTAGCATTCCAAATTGTTCATTCTTCCTGACAAAATATACATACAAATAAAACAGTGAGTTTTGCTTGTGCCCAACCACTGCGTCCCAGAACATTGTTTGATTTCTCTCTTGCTTCTTCTAGCCCATGCGAATAAGGACCAAAACAGCGTCATGGCCGATGTGGCGCCTAGGTAAGCTCGACAAAATAATGGGGGAACGAAAGTCGAACAAATGATGTAAAGAAAGAATCGCAAGCCGCATAACTGGTCAGATGAAGATGCTCTCGAAAGAGCTGGGTATCTAGATCAACCACCTTGAAAGGTCTTCTCCCAAACCTTCTCTACTCCTGTGTCTGTATACCGCTCCCCTTCCTTTTTCCCCCGTCGTTGCTGTGTATTCTCCCGACTCTGACAGGCTCTGGTGGGATCTCGATGAAACACGAAATGAAAAAATAAGATACTAGGAAAAGCTTTGGTTCAAAGGATTGGTCGGTAAGTCGCCTCGGATGCGTCGTCGCTCGTCCAGTTGTATAGGATATGTAAAAGGCGTTGTTCCCGATGTGTTGAGTTTAGAAATGGGGACACTGCTAACTAAAGGTGGGTTTCGTGTATAAAAAGCGCTGATTTTTCGAGTACGGCACCATGGTCAATAAAATTCTCGTCATTTGATGTTTTTGAAGAGGTCATTCCCCAAGCTTCCTTCATCTTTTTCGAGGTCCTTAAGCTCCGGGATCATCGGTGGGGGAGGCCCGGTTGGTTTTCGAGGCGAAGGGACATCATTAAACAAAATGCTTGATCGCTTGGATTCGCCGCTTTTGAAGAGCCCGAACCAGCTGCTCCGCCTCGATTTTCGTCCGCCCATGACGCTGCTGGCGCCGCGGCTAGGAGGTCTGCTACCGATGGCCAGGCTACCATTGTCCATCGAAGCCGAATTGCCCTCTACAAAACTAGTGTTCAGCATATTCCTACTAAGTAGTTTGCGGAGGCTGCCCTGCCTAGCAGAGCCAGCGGGGCTCAGGGGCGCCTCATCCGCGGGCCGTTTGGTTCCAGCAATATTACCATTGTTTGGTGGTGTAGACTTGTCGGTCTCGTTCCCACTGACCACGGCGGAGTCGGTCTTCTTTGTCGGAGGAGGCGTCTGAGGCGGCGTGGGCACCTTGGGCGAATCTGGAGGAGGAGGGATATTGGTGCCGTCGGTAATGTTCCCGAAGTTCAAGTCGAGCGCGGGAAGCTCAAACCGAGGCTTGGCCGAGCCATTGACGCGAGCAGGCATGACGACAGAATTTTGAGGGAGGCCGAGAATGTCGACAAGAGAGTCAACGAGAGATCCTGACCTCTGGAAGGCGTCGTGACTAGCAGCAGTCACAGACAGCTTGGCGGGCAGAAGACGTCGTGATCAGTGGCAGCTTATCGCGATAGGCCGGGCCCAGTGAGTCGTGAACAAGATGACGGAGTAAAGCTTCAGTCTGTTCTCGTATCAAGACAGGCGAGACCAGGCCACTAGGAAAGGAGAGCAAAATGCCTGGCAGCTAGGTAGTTGCTCCGTACGCTGTACGGAGTCCTCTGTACTATGCACTACTCCGTATACGCGTTGATGACCGGGGTAGGTGAGAAAACTGGAGCTCTCGTGGCTTTGGAGAGCCAGGGGTCGGATGAATTGGGTCGCGTTGGAGCTCAGTTGTGCACACTATTCCGTCTAGGACGGGGGGACTGGGGTCGAAAGAAGAAACGAGGGTCGAACGAGCCCTCGGACAGAATTCAGGGAGAATTATTCAGCGTAGAAGATTGGCCTCGGGAGGTAATGGCTGAAAAGAAGAGCAGGGTTGGCGAAGTTGGCAGGCAGGAAGCCGGGGCGAGGAGAGGGATGTGAGAGGAGAATCTGAATCTGCACGCACAGCAAGAAGAAGAGACCTGCAGGTTGCTCAAATGCTCAAATGACTTGGATGTTTCGCTTCGTCAGCGAGGTGTTGCTGAAAATGGAACATGGGGGGTTGGCCATGGTTACGGCCTGGGACAGATGGCAGGGATAAGGGGACAGGACATCAGGAACCTCGAGGTGGCGGTTGTTGGCGCAGCACACAGTGCACAGAAGCCTGGAAACGGCTTAGCGCCCCCAGAGAGCACCGTTGACTGAGGCTGTCCAGCTGGCCGGCTGAGTCGCGAGCTCTGTGCACCCATCCAGAACTTTGGAAGGCGGCGTCATTCACGGCTGGTACGTGCAGGCATGCAGACTTGAATGTTGCAGAACTACAGACACTCAAGCCATAGAACGTATGACCAAATTGTTGACGGAGCAATGGCCAACAGGTCAAATGGTCGCACTCTTGACCGTGCAATGAGTTATTTTTGGAGCCGAGCATTTAGCTGGCCATGACGGCGGTGACGATGCTGCCCTTTGCCCTCAAGCTTCGATAGTCTAGTCCCGTGCAAGGCCGACTAGTAACTTGCCAGTCGTTGGCAACTTGGGTGACGGCACGACCCGCAGTCGGCAGCGTGACGCCTCGGAAGGGGTTCAAACGTCAACTGGCCTGGTTCGCAGGAATCGTTGAAAACGGCCTAGACTGCTGGCACTATTGGCGGACTGATGGGGCTGATGGGACGGGTCTGGTGGCATTGCGGAGTATGGGCCATGGCATTAGCCATCAATTGATGGGACCCGCCGATGGACTCTGAAGTCTGAACATTTGCACCAGACGTGAGCGTGGGCGACACGGGCAAGGGGGGGCGAACGCAAACCCGGAAAACTCGATAATAAAAGCAAGTTCAACGACTGTCATCACGCCATCGTCATCGCCCTTACTGCCTGTATACTTCTTTGTGGACAAATGTATTGTGCTGCTGATTGCGGGTACCTGGGAAGGCGCATCCAGCTGAGACGAGTCCATCTATGCATCGTGAGTGAAGAAGGTGAGGGGGACAGCCGCCCGTCTTTTAGGTCGTGACTTCCAGGATTAGCGTCATATTTTTGACCTTGACTTCGATTCGTTCGTTCCGGACATGTGCGGTCGTGAATTATTTCTCTCGCCACTGAGCACGCGTTTTGCGCAGAGAATTGAAAATAGGATGTTAAAGCCGCTCCCTAGCTGTCTTTCTCTTTTCGGGTAACCATTAGAGCATCCTAGACGCGAGGCCAAGGAATTCATCCAGTTCTATTATCGTATCTGCTAGCTTCTTCCCTCCTATAAGGTCCGCGCGGAGAATATTGTCTACCCATAATGGTGGATGGCGCGTAGGTACTTGTATCATGAGTTGTAGATGCTTCCCAACTCTAATTACCCTCCCTCATTGAAAACCGGACCGCCCCAAAACTCGGCCCCACATTTCGGCTTGAAAGACATGAGCGATATCACAATTCCGCTCCCCTTCCAATTTGGCATTTCGCGGAGAATATTCTGCATCGAAGAATACAGCTAGGACTCTGCCCTTTCACACCTCGTGTCATTTGGAAACAACCACCTTCCGCAAAACTAGAGACATTATACAACCTCATGTGGGTCCCCTCCACGGCCGAAATTAGCTCCATCACCCAAACGTCATTGACGGTTTTCATCCGACGACGGACCGATAGCTTCACAGTCTCTTAGCACAACCTCCATTGTCCTTGCCAGAATCCCATCCGCAGCAATTGCACACGTTGACAATGGCAAGTCACCAGTGTCTGCGACTACCCTCTTTGGTGTTCAAGCTTTCACGACCAACACCAAGGCTCCAGGCTACCTACTTGAGTCGGCTACCTCGAACAGCTCTCCGGCGCAAGTCGGGTCCATACGGCTACACACAATCCAAAGCTCTCGTGTATTCCAAACATGGCGAGCCCTCGGACGTACTGAAGTAGGTTGAGGTTTACCTGACACCAATGACGGCGATTACGTAGGCTAACTTCGCTCTCGTAGGCTTCACACGCATTCCATCTCCCCTTCCCTCCCGAGTTCATCCGTCCTCGTTCGAACCCTGGCCGCATCAATCAACCCCGCTGATATCAACACCATCCAAGGGACATATGGCTCCAAGCAGCCCATGAAATCTCTCATCGGAACAGCCGAGCCGTCCGCTGTCCCTGGCAACGAGGGCGTTTTCGAAGTCGTCTCAGTCGGCGATTCGTCGTCACCGCTGAAGAAGGGGGACTGGGTTATTCCCGCCGCCCAGCAGATTGGCACATGGAGGACGCACGCAGTTTTCGAAACCAATCATCTTCTCAAAGTCGACAAGGAGAATCTGACGCCCACACAGGTCGCGACTGTGAGCATCAACCCATGCACGGCGTACCGCATTTTGCGAGACTATGGTCCCAGCGCTGGGTTGAAGGCTGGCCTGCCGATGAGACCGCTCGAGCTCGGCAGTGGCGAGTGGTTCATCCAGAATGGAGCCAACTCGGGAGTGGGACGGGCAGCGATCCAGTTTGGAAAGCTCTGGGGTCTACGGAGCATCAACGTTATCCGCGATAGAGACTCCATCGAGGAGACCGAAGCTTTGAAGCAGGAGCTTATCGGCCTAGGAGCAGATGTTGTGGTGCCGGAGTCGCAATTCCTGTCTAGGGAATGGAAGGACCAGCTTGCGGATATCACTCGAGGCGGCCGCGAGGAAATCGGACTAGCGTTGAATTGCGTCGGCGGCAAATCTGCCACCTCGCTGGCACGATCCCTGGGCGAGGGGGCTACGTTGGTGTCGTATGGAGGAATGTCCAAGCAGCCTGTTGCGTTGCCGCTTGGGCTGCTCATCTTCAAGGACATTCGATTTGTTGGGTTCTGGTTGTCAAAGTGGAACAAGAAGGATGCCACCGGGCGAAAGCATATGGTGAATGATATTCTGAACTTGATTCGCCTGGGCCATTTCAAGGATGTGCCCGTGGATGAAGTCAAGTGGGACTGGGAGACGGAGGAGGCACCGCTGAAGGAGGCAGTACAAGGGGGTTTAAGGGGGTTTAGGAAAGGAAAGGGGGTGTTTTTGTTCGGTGACACTTGAGGGTTGTTGCGCATGTAATGTGAAGGTCATGTATAGTATTCGAACGATGGGTGAAAGCTTGAAGCCGCGCCATCTTGTCATGTGCCATGATCTACTTGGTTGGCTGGACGGTTTTCATGACTCTTGTTTCACGTAAAGCGATGAGATGGGCAGGATAGGCAGGTCTTGGTCCTGGTGTACGGCGCAGTATCTAACGATACATATATACAATGCTATATATCAGCCAAAGAACCGTCACACATACAGCCTTGCCATGCCGGCATATAATGGGCCGTGGTTGAGTGCACTAGCGATCTCTCGATATTTCGTCCCTTCGACAGTTTTTGACGATCCAGGGATGCTGCTGGACTTGTTCGAGGGTCAATCTCTTATCTGGGTCAACAACAAGCAACTTTGGCCAATGTTAGCACTTCCATACACCATGTTCAAAGAGTCAAAAGATTCACACCTACTCCCTTAATAAGGCTCGTGGCCTCGGCGCTGACAAATGACGGGACTTTCATCTCCGCCCTAGCGATTCTCCTACATGTCATGGCCGGTGTGTCCTCAAAGGGGGCCTCACCCACGAGAAATTCGTAGGCCAACACGCCCAGGGCCCATAGGTCAACCTTCTCATCGTATGAGTTCTCCGGGCTATTCGGTATAACCATCTCAGGAGGCAGGTAGTCCAATGTTCCGCAGTACGTTTTCCGGCGGCTACGAGGCGAGTGTACACTCCAGCCAAAATCCGAGATCTTGACCTCACCGTATATGCCCACCAGGATATTCTCTGGTTTAATGTCCCGATGGATTATATGCTTACGGTGCAAGTAGCGCAGGGCGCTTGCCATCTGCGCAATATAGCGTGCGGCTTTCGGCTCCGGGAATCTATCTGCCTTGCGAAGGTGCTTGTATAACTCGCCACGGCCAGCAAACTCAAGGACAAGAAAGACGCGCTTACTGTCGTGGAAGTGGCTATATAACTTTAGGATATTGGGGTGCCGCAGATTGCTCTGGATCTCAATCTCGCGGCGCACTTGTCTCTCGACTCGACCTTCTTGTAGCTCGCTCTTATGCAGGACTTTTAACGCGCAGATGAAGCCGTGATCTCGCTCGCGGGCGAGGTATACGCGGCCAAACTTGCCCTTGCCTAGTGGCTTGCCGATCTCGAACATGCCCAAGTGGAATGTCTTGGCCACGGGCTGCTGAATCAAACGCGCAGTCTTGTTCTCTGGTTGACTATTTTCCTTGGATGGTCTTATACGAGGGCTTTTGTGGCTCAGAAAAGTTTGGAGGGCGGCTTCTCGCGGGGGAGCCGTTGTGTTTGGCTTCTGTTTGGGCAGAAGGGCTTTGACGAGGTTTGGTCGAGCTGGGTTGCATGGGAGCATCTTTGGGCCTGATTTCGCCTGTTCAGAGGATTAGTTTCTGCCGGAGCTGACTGGGAATTTAGTTTTTAATTACCTTTGCCTTCATTTCCCTTCCGTTGTAATCGTCGAGAGCCAGCCGCTGCAAGCGAGTCTCGAGGCCAGGAGCTGCCATCCTTTTGGGTGTTTTTAGGCAGAGACGAGGATAAGAAAAGAAGGATAGAAATATATTGCCTGAATTGGCTACTTGAAACCGATGGCCAAGCGCCACTGACGAATTGTCATTCTGTCGGTATCGTGACTCTCCTGAAGTATGGGATGGAATCAATGGACCGTGTGCGCCATTGTGAAAGGGCGTTGCGCGGCAACCATCGCGCCTCATCCTCTCCAATCAACTGTGGCTGTTGGCTGTTGGATGCTGGCCGTTGTTTGTATGTGGCGTGCATGAGCAAGGAGCTTTGTAAGCCCCCTACGGCAGCGATGTATGATGGGGAACCCAAGGAAAAGGAAGCTCCGGCCATGGACATTGTTTCATTAACAGGCAGATAAATGAGCATTATATTTTCGTATGTAGACCAGCAGAGACAGAAGTGGCCAGAATGCACGGAGTATGCTGCGGCACCAGCTACGATGCAGGGAAACACATGTTTTTGCAAATTGTACCGCGTTCTGGCTTCAGGCACATAACACTAGATGAATATATCATCTTACTTCAATCCTGGCTGTTCCTAGTATTAGCTCTAGCTGAGCTGTGACAGGACGTTGATTATTGAACTACCTGGTGTGTAGAAGCATTGGGTCGAATGTACCCTCGTGGTGTAAAATCAGATGTGAACAAAGATGCTGCGAGCTCTTCGTCGTTTGTTAGTTCCAGCTGGTCTTCCATTCAGACCAAAGCCTTCGCTTTGTCCTTTATTCGTCTCTTTGTTGCCCAGAGCTTCTCCCACTCAATCACGTGCATCTGCATCCGAAGAAGAAAGCGAAAGCCATTCGTTCGCTTCCATGTCAACTGGATTCGGGACGTCCACAATCCAAGCCACCAGTCCCTTCACCATAGATATTCGGCGTCGCACCATCCAATAAATCGACAGAATTCGAAAAGACACGCTTGGAAGCCCCATCTTCTCCAGTCTTCTCCAGATCTGACATCTGCGCCCCTGACGCTAGCGCAGGCTGGCTTAGATCCGTCCCCACTCATTCGTCACTCAACACAGCGTCAGGAACCTAACTCACATCCGTCTGACCATCGCATGTTTGCGGCAAACAAGCTCAATATGATCGCCTTCGCAAAAAGCCTGCTCTTGTCCTCTCGCGATGCGAAGGCGAATGGTGCGCATGGCGTTGATAATACGGTTCGTCCAGTGCCGTGTCTTGCATTCCACTTTGACCCCCGTCTCCCCCCCCGGAGCAAATCTGTACTACGTACTCCAGAATTCCAGAATCCACACAAGCAAAGAAACCCCCACCGTCGTATCAGCACGTGCTGACGTTGCCGCAGCAGCCACAGACACCGGGAAAGAGGAAGATTGGTGGCACTACGAATGAAATCGAAGACAGGCCTATAAAAAAGGAGCCTGGCTCACATACCTCCACAAAGCGTCGCAAGATAAATGACATCACGCCTCGAAGAACAAGGCCCTCCAAGCAGCTCAACAATGCACCCACACAACGACTCGATATTACAGTATTCGGGAGCGGGGAGAATGGCGAACTGGGTCTGGGGAATAAAAGCCACAACAACAAGAGTCCTACGAAGGCAAACAGGCCCCGTCTCAACCATTTGCTAAACGCAGCGGACATAGGCATTGTCCAAGTAGCAGTCGGAAGCGTGCATTGCGCTGCGCTCACACACGACGGCCGAGTCTTGACTTGGGGTGTCAACGACTCCAGGGCCCTCGGTAGAAATACAAAATGTGAACCACTGGCGCAACCGGACGGAGGTGTTACGAATTTGAACCCCCTCGAAAGCACACCCGCGCCTGCGGAAGGGCTGGAAAATCTGGGTTCAGATATTACACAAGTTGCTGCCACTGATAATGCGACCTTTGTCCTCACCAGATCTGGACTTGTATATGGCTGGGGCACTTTCTTTGTATTTTGACACACTCTTTCCTCCTTCACCTATCCCCACGTTAGAGAGCTAACTGGTTCCAGGGCAGCGACGGTGTATACGGTTTTTTGCGAGAGAAGATGCGCCCAAAGAAGAAATCCAAGTACAAAGAACGCTTCCAGGTCACGCCCATCCAAATAGGTGGCCTCAAAGATATCAAGAAGCTTTCCGCGGGCGGAAACCACGTGCTCGCTCTCACGGAATCAGGAGACGTGTACGCCTGGGGGTCAGGACAACAAGCCGAACTTGGCCGCCGCCTCGTCCAACGGCACCAATTCGAATCCTTGATCCCGCGAATGGTCGATCTACCGAGGAAGGGAATCGTCGAGGCCTTTGCCGGATTCAACCATAGCTTCGCGATAGACAAGGACGGCCAAGTCTGGACCTGGGGGCTGAACAATTTCGGACAGACAGGCCTTGCCGCCAACGAGGAGAATCTTCATGTTGGCACCCCGACAGTCATTCAGGGGCTGAGAGGGTACAAGATTCGCCATATGGCGGGTGGCTTTCAGCATAGCCTGGCGTGCACCGAGGACGGAGAGGTTCTTGCTTGGGGGAGATGTGACAACAGTCAAGTTGGCATCGACGTGTCTGCCTTGCCTAGGGAACATGTCCTGTGCGACAGCCGAGGACGGCCGAGGATTTTGCTGCAACCCACCATCATCCCTGGTACGTGCCATTTACATCTTCTTTTTTTTTTTTTTTTATCTCCTTCATTTTATGCATTCGCATAGCTGACATTAGTGGCAGGAATCACGGCTACTCTCGTCGCAGCCGGCATCGACAACTCCTTCGCCATCACCCCAGAAGGCAAAGTCCTGACCTGGGGATATTCTGAAAACTGTCGAGCAGGCCAAGGGGCCGACACAACGATTGAGACGCCTACAGAACTTACGGGAAAGGCTGTTTCCGGTAAATCGTTCACATTTGCTGCCTGCAGAGGGCAATTCTCACTCATTGCGAGTCCACGAAAGTCTTCACCCTGAAGGATAACAATGTTTATGCAGTAGGAAAACCATGTTTTTTTTTTTTTTTGGATCTCCGTCATCTGAGCATTCGCATAGCTGACATTAGTGGCAGGAATCACGGCTACTCTCGTCGCAGCCGGCATCGACAACTCCTTCGCCATCACCCCAGAAGGCAAAGTCCTGACCTGGGGATATTCTGAAAACTGTCGAGCAGGCCAAGGGGCCGACACAACGATTGAGACGCCTACAGAACTTACGGGAAAGGCTGTTTCCGGTAAATCGTTCACATTTGCTGCCTGCAGAGGGCAATTCTCACTCATTGCGAGTCCACGAAAGTCTTCACCCTGAAGGATAACAATGTTTATGCAGTAGGAAAACCATGCTGACGATAGGCTGATTCGAAACTGGTACGGGATTGGACCACGCGAAACGTGGCCTGTAGTCCTTGCAGCCAGCTTGTTCATGTATAGCTACAGATGAAATCCAGAGCGTCATATCTAAATGCTTGAAATGTATGAAAACGAAAATACATGCCGTGAGAAATACGCAATCCAAGGCAAAGTATCTGCCTCCTACGACAAAATCCCCCTTATTATTCATCCAGGCCGCCAGGAACCTAGAGCATGAAAACGGAACAATATTTCTAGTAATATCGTTATGCAGTTGGAAGGCATTCATCCACACTCACTGCGACGTGCTGCACCGGCATACACACGGCAATAATGTCTCTGTGTAAACTAATATATCCTTGATTCGCAGCCCATGATTCCCAACATAAAAGTATCAATGCGCCCGCCTAGGCCCGCAACGCCTGCGCCCACTCATGCAACTTATCAATCACGACTGGCGCAAAAGCCGTCAATGTGCCCTCTATCACATTCCCAAAATACACAATCGCCTCCTCTTCACTGAGTTCGAGGTGGAATCTCTCTCGGACCTTCATGACGGCCTTGTCCGGCTCCAGACGGATATCAGGAATGTTGGCGTGCAGCATGAGGCTAAAGAGGTTAAGAATGAGGTTTGAGGATTTGCGCAGGGCCGTGTAGGCAAGGAAGCAGTACTGTTTGAAGCGGTTGTACTGCTCTGAATTCATTCCGCCCATGCACTCGACCATTTCTTTAGATAGCTTCATCAACGGGGCGAAGGGCTTCGGGTCGCGGCCGAGAATGAAGCCGAAATCGGCGTGGAAGAAGTGCCCGTCAGGCGCCAGCAGGAGATTGTCGAGGTGGCGGTCGCCAACGCCGAGAATGTAGGTAATGACGCAGTATCCCGCACACGATTTGATATAAGTGTCTAGCGTCTCTTGTCGTACGCCCAGAGGTTGTCTGTCATCGGGGTTGTGATGTCTAAGGTATGCAAGCGCTGGGTTTGTCCTGTATTTGCTAACAATGGCTGACAAGCTTTGCGACTGGACGAACTGAGAGGCGCCTGCAGTTGTGCTGGTGGCCAGGATTTTGTACGGCGACAACTTCAGGTCCAGGTTCTCCTTTTGGAGAAGCTGGTCCATAAGTGTGATGATTTGGATCACCAGTTGGTCTTGCCGCAAGTCGTCGCCCAGTTTGAATATGATGGGATAGGTGCCGCCACTCGTAGTTTTAAAGGTGCATTTGATTGGATTCAGTGATGACTTGAATACTGCAACTTGGTCCGGCGCAATGCCGGTAATCTTGATTGCTGGATCGAGGGGCATGGCCAGAGGCGGATCAAAGGTAAGCAACTCGTTCTTGGGATCTGCCAGAAAGTGTTTTAGGCGATCAGTCTTCTTTGCAATCGACTCGCCGGATGATTTGATATCGGCGGCTACCTTGGAGAGGATGGCAATCATCTCGGCTTGTCGGAGCAGCGTTTTCCTGTCTTCAGTTCCGGATGGCTGTTTGACGAGCTCAGTCATGAAATCATAAGCGACTTTTCGATATATGTTTCGATTGTCAACTCCTTGTTCCGGACTGTGATCGTCGCATTCGACCATGAGATACCAATAAAAATAATTGCCCAACATAAAGTTCGCCGCAGCTCGCTGTATAAGAAAACACGCCAGTGACGAATCCTGTATGCTCTCTTGATCAGAGTCGGCAGATATATGCTCGTATTTGAGCGCTTGCACAAGCTGAAGGAGATAGAGGAGTAGTTCATGGTCATCAGCTTTTCGTAAACGGTCCACGGCATACGAACGAACAGCCGGGTTGTCGAATGACGGCCCAAGAAGCTCCAGGGCATCGTCCACATCAATTTCTGTCCAGCGACCAAGGACCTGTATCGCTTGTTTGGACTCGCTCTGGTCACTCCAGTTGACCGATTTGACAAATTTGGTCAAGGCTCGCTTGTCTCTAGTCAGGTGATATCTAAACTTCCAGACCAAGTCGGCCTCCTCCGGCGATAAGACATGGGTTGGCGAATATGCCATGATCAGATTCAGCTCGTCTCGGACTTTTGCGTTCGGTTTGAGATCCTTGTCCAGGATTCCATGCCTGTGGGAGCTTCGAAACAACCGCCTATGCTTCGCCTCTGCAGGGTTATCTCTCTGACCGACCTCTGGGTCGTAGACCTTGATGAGCCTGACCCCAAATCCATCAGAGCTCTCCCCCATGGCGTTGATGCCTGGGCCAAATTGGACCTGCGGTTGATGGAGCGGCAGCGTTCCTTGAGAAGCTGAAAGCGGTTGCAAAGCTGATATCGGCGGTGGGTCGTATTCATGGTCAGCGAATACGACTGGGAAATCGAATCGCGGAAGTTCAACATTAAGTAGGAAAGCTGATGAGTTGGGGCGACCGTCATTGAGACCGTCATCGTCGGTGTCGGAAGCATGGTCGCCGTTGTTGTCTCCGTTGAGGGCTCGCTGACGCTGAAGCATCTTCATAGACGACTTTGCAGCCTGCAGACCCTTTTTCTCGAAGCTTCGAAACACCATTTGGTCTAGCCAGTCTACGCGCGGGATCTCTCCCATCTCATGTTTTTTGAACAACTTTTCCATTCTGTCGAGCTCCTCGGCATCTTTATCAACCAGCGGACCACCCCCATTCCGAAGGCTGGCCTTCTTCTTCTCTGTGACCAAAGCCGGCGTAGTGGAGTTGTCTCTTCCATCAGCATGCTTGTGTCTGTGAACCAAACACTTCTGGCGACCTTTTTGGATTTGATTGTCGGTATCAAACATGGGCAATGTGGTTCCTCCAAACGGAATGGCATGGCCAATCGCATGTTTCCCTCCGGTAGGTGACAGGTCCCATATTGTAATGGCGAGACAAGAATTGGCGGGCAGTGACTTGTACGTGATGGGCAACTCTAGCCACTCGTTCCATCTGTGTCAAGGCGACAGTAAGTACAAGGTCATGTCAGGCGGCTCGGGGGTCTAGTGGTCTGTACGCACTTTCGCTCGGATCGGAAGGGCTTGTATGCTGTTTGCACCGGTACGGTAAGAGGTTTGGAGCCAGCCCAGACCTGTATTGTAACGTAAAGTTCGGAGTGTGGGCTGATTTGCGGTCAGTCAAGGTGATGGTGAATCTGGAATGGCTGTAGGGGGGCCAACCTGGTGTTCGACCCGATATGCCGGAGTTCCGGTCGCTCGAGAAGCGTCGAATACTTGACTGGAGGCTCGTCTCCCTCTAGGTTCATTCTGTCATCGATGCTCAGCAAACAGAAGGCTGTGCGCGAGTCACACTGCGTAACTCAGTAGCAGGCGCATAGAGATGCTGGGGAGTGGTAGCCTACATTCGGACGCTCACAGGATGATCGACATCCTTGGAGCCCGCAAAAGAGAACGGGTCCATTCTCCCGTACTCAGCCATGACTATGCGATCATGGCATTCTGGGCGGCTCGTTAGGGACGGGGTGCGGCAAGACTGTCGCAATGAAGTCGGGGTGTTGAGTCTGGAGGCTTCAGGTACGAATTCGGTGGGGCATGCCAGTGCAGGTGTTCACCAGTGTGACATCTGGACATCTGGAGATCTTAAGCACCTCCAACTAGCTCAACTCTAGGTGGTCCGTTAATGATGTCTGGTCTAGTCTGGTGGGTCACCGCCTGCCTTACAGCACTGCGAGCACTGCGCTAGTGATCAGTCTGGTGCCGCGATTCCCCACCATCCGACCACTGCCGTCTGGCTGTGTCCGTCTGCTCGTCTTCAATGTTGCCATGTCGAGTCTGAATTTACTTCAAAGTTCAAACAAAACGGCGGCGATTCAGCACAGCTAATCATTTCGGTCCAGCGAAACAACCGCCTTCATTCCACGACATATTTAACAATTTGTACCCATTTCGCAGTGCCATCATTACCTATCATGAAAATACCGGTAATTGCAAAGTCAAATTCCCATTATCACAACTTCTTGCGCAAGAATGCCGCATTCTTCAAATCAACAACCACCCCATTACGACAGCGACACCTAGCACCCCCCACGAACCAAACGTAACACGAGTCCCCGAACTCGGGGCAGTCGTTGTTGTCAATGGCGCCGTTGAAGTTTTCGTCGACGACGGTTCCTTTGTTCCTGGCGCTGGGTGAAGAGTGAGTAGTCAGTACGCGTCAAAAACGCAAAGAGAGCAAAGTCACTTGCCGCCAGAACTTTTCGGAGACGTCTCTGAAGGCCGAGATGTTCCAACTGCAGAGCTACCCGTCAAACTCCCTGTCGAACTGACGATTACAGTATCCGTTCGACTGGCGATTGAAGTGCTAGTCAAGCTGCCGGTTACAGCCACGGTTGACGTACCTGTAGAACCAGAATTGGACGAAGCCGTAGTGGACCCCGGGAGAGAGGAAGTCGTCTTGGGAGACGTCTTGGGAGAAGATTCCGTGGCAGAAGATGTCGCTGGCGAAGACGATGTCACCGTGCCTGTGCCGGTCGTTGCCAAGTTGGTATTATACGTAAACTGTGTCGTGGTGGTCGTCTTGCCGTCCTCGCCCCCCGTAGCCTGGAAGATGTAGGTGCCAGAGGGGACGTTCTGGATTCTGGCGGTGAATCCCGTGCCCGCTTGCTTTTCTATTGTCTCGCCATTATTAGCGAGAAGGCCCTCTCGAGGTAATTTGTCGCGCGAGCGGATCTGTAATCCCGCGGGCTCAGCCAAACACGGCATTCTACACACCAAAAATAGTCGCAACCCTTTCCATGTCCGACAGTCTCACCAAGTACAGAGAACACGGCTTCTCATCCGTACACTTCTCGATGTCGTACTTGAACGTATCCTCCGATACGCGATTGCCCCTCACGAAGTTGGCAGCACTCGCAAGGGGGGGCAACGCAGCTCCGAAGACGACGACGTTGGCGAACCTCATTATCGCAGTCGCTGTAGGCACGCAAGGCCATGGGAATAGAGAAAAATAGGCAACGAATTCGATGGGCACGGAGAGGGAAGCGAACTTGGCTATCTTGAATTAAACGAGGCCGAGGTGCCAAACGATCTGTTTGTCCTGACAAAGCGAAACATCGCTTCCCAAAGCGGATGGTAGTTAATTGTCCTGCCCGTCACTTGACCTTGATGCAACCCCTGCTTGCACGACAGCGGCCAACCAACACACCATCATTTTTCAATAAATACGACAGCGAGATCATCTATTGATGCAGCTCAGGGGTACGTCGTCAGCTCTGTGACGTGGAGCGCTGACAGGCGGGCTAAGACTGTGTGGATGCTTGATGTCTCTACAATGCTTCGCGAGTGTATCTTGGCGAGGTCCGTGAGTTAAAGAACTATAGTTTGAATGAATACTCAATGCTGGGTTCAAAATCCATAGAGATGGTGTTTGAGCCTTTTGTTCCTACACTCTACGTCTGGGCTTCGGAACTCAGCACTCGGCACAACCTCAGCCCTGCCTCATTGCCATTACGGCCAGGTGAGCCTTGGATATGTGAAAGCAAAACACAATCTTGCTAGATCAAATGTGGTTTATTAAACATATTTCATCTCGGGTATCTACCAGTCTACATATCCTCGCCACCCTTCATTCCGCTCGCACGACCCCATCCATGTTGCGCACCGTCAACTCTAATAAGACATCACCAAACGCCTCTTCACTCCATTGCGACTCAACTCCCTGCTAAAATTACATCTTGCCACGCAAGTTCCACTCAAAGATCTTGTTAAACACCTCTTTCGCATTACCCTCAATAACATCGCCGTGGCAAGGAATCAATGTTGTAAAATCCCACTGTGAAATCACCTTCAGGCTCTCATTCATGCTATTGCGGTCCTTGGCAAGATACCAATTAAACCGCTTGGCCCAGGTCGCATCTCCCTCGGTGTTCTGCACCCCTCGGAATAGCTTGTCAAGAAGGCCACCCGGCCTCTGCGACTCGGGCACCTTGCTGTACTGCTCGGTGGCGGGCAGATTAAACAGTAGGTCGGCCTCGATGAGGACCTTGTCCGGCTTGTAGTTGAAGACGATTTCCTTGTTTGCATGGCCATCGACATACTCATAGTCGAAATCGGCATCAAACTCTTGGCTGATTTTGACGTCGCGCTTGCCTTCCTTCTTGAAAATAACAGCGAATTTGTCATCGTTGATTTTAGGATCCTTGAGCTGCTTGGAGCGCTTTTCGGGAAGACCCTCGGGGCCAATGATTTTTGCATTGGGCCATTGCTTGGCCCATTCAGAGATGAAGATGTGGTGCTCAAAGTCGAGAGCGACGATGTAGCCTACGCTGCCGCCGAGTTCGCTGACTTTGGCCTTGGATTCTTCTGTGAGGGCGACGGGAGAGAAGACGGCGAGGTTGCCGGATGTGAGCCTGACTATAGGGTTGGGTCAGTACGATAATGCTACGTTATGGATAAAGAGGGGCTCCGTGGGCAAGGTGGGATGTACCAAGTGTGCCACGACCACCAATCTTGATCCTGCCAAATCGCGAAAATGGCACTGAGAAGGTCGCAATGTTGGGCGTGACATTGCGGATGACCATGAGGCCTGCCGGGTTGGCCGGGATGAGGTCCGCCGACATGTTGTGTGCGCTTGCGTTTGTAGAACTTAAAGTGCGATATTTCCCCGACGGTCCTAGATGTGTTCGAGGACGAGAGTAAGTACTCGAGTAACGGTGGCGATGGTAGTGCTGCTTTTCTTGGTGGTGTAGCTGCTGTTGCGTACAGTTGCGAGTCTTGCGACGCAGCAAAGTCAATGGAGCGACACCGGCACTATTTAACCGTCTCTGCCGCAAACCTAAAATGTAATCATCAATGACGCAAATTGTGCCCCTGTGCTTCGGCAAATACAAGCTACTGGTCCTGCTAAGCGTCTTAATAATAGAGCTGCCAGGTTGGCTCGTCTTCAACGGCCGAAAGCGTGGCGACACAAACATGGAAATGTCCAAAATTCCAAATTCCAGAAAAAAAAAAAAGTGGCTGCGGCGAAGCGCCAGAGGCACTGACCGCCAGGTAATAATGGCAGCCTGGCAGGGGAGCCACACTGCAGACGAGACGGGAATTGCGTCCAAGTGGTTAATGTCGTGATCTCATAGAGCTAGAACGAGGCGGGATCATGACATCAGCACCTTTCGGAGGAAATATTCGGTCTCGTACAAGGGCCCGTCGCCGTGGAGCCCGCCCAAGCATGGAAGACACTGGTATTATTTGTAAATCCCAGGTCCGTCTGCTGAGCCGAGGCTCCAGTTCGTAGACTGCAGTAATCGGGGCTGCCGTCAGATCGAATTACACGCTCGTTCAACATGGAGGAATAGTTGGCGCAGAAGCAGGGGTCGGCCTTTGGGGTTTGTCCTTGACGGCTTTGGATAACTATGTAGCTGTGGTGGAGGCAGCCACAATGCTTGCATTATGGCTCCAAATACATGGGACCAATGACAGCCCGAGCATTCCATTTGAAGGTGCCCTGCAGATGGCCTGATTCCTGTGCAACGCACGCAAAGTGGCGTTTGAATCTAGAACCCGTTCATGTGGCTGCTGTAGAGTTATCGTTTTGAATGTCATTGAACGGCGTTTGCATACTTGCATATTTACAGAATAACCTAGGGAGGCTTAGATATGAAGATAGTCTCTTGAGTGAAACTCCCCAGCATGTCGTTACGTCCTTAGGCACTACGTAGGCACATAATGTCTGTCGGTGAACTACACATACGTATTACTCCGTACCTTCCGTCTACCATATAGAAACACCCAACAATCACCCGTTATGTAACTACATATTATCCGGACCTCGCGAGCACCAACACCACAGCCCCGAGCACCAAAACCCTCATGCTTTCTTGGTTTGCCAAATTAAGTCCCTGCACGACCCGCCAAAAAAGCTCCAGAACGCGTCGCGAATTCAAGAGAATCAACGTCAGCAGCATACTCGCCTCTGCACCCGTCAACAGTCCGCCATGCAGGCCTGGCCAAAAGGACCTCTCTCCCCGAGCATACGAGGAGAGTAAAGTCGTTGGCTTGATGTTGTTTGCGTGCAACCACGTGTTCCGCTCCTTGGCACACGCGATCCAGGTTTGGATACCGAGCAGGAAGATGATGTGGGTGAGTACGTTGAAAATGGCACTCCACGGGATGCTCATCTCAGCATTGCGGCTCATTTGTCGAGACATTTGTACTGGCGAAGAACCATCTGCGCCTGATACCAGGATGGCTGGTTGCCGCAATGGGAGGATGAAAGACCATAGGAAGTCGCACATGGCGACCCACGACTGGCATTGGGTTTCGACAAAGTCTGAAAATGTCGATGCCTGTGCAGTCCCAGGCGCACATCGTCTCCCGCGAGCCATCGAGGCCTCTGCCTGAAACAACTTGGTCTGAGGCTCATTTCGAGGTCGAGCAGCAGCAACAGGGCCTTGCTCGACCCCAGCTGTGCCCCGGGCTCGCTGAGAAGCAGTACCGCAAGCTCTAGGCTCAACACCTCCCCATTGACCGGCCTCGGTCGAATCCAATGACGTCGGAACAGTGATTGGAGATGATGTTCCCCGGGGACTCAGCGGCGGTGACATGCTCCTCCTGTCATTACTCCTTGACTGACTTGAGCTTCGCGTCCAATCCACCTCGACTGCGTTTGTAACAAATACCTCCATCACTCTGTCGTGAATCTGCATCTCCCTCTCAAACCTCATTTTCATCTCCTCATGCCTCTCCATCAGGTCGTCATACCGCATTCTCAGGTTGTTGTACCGTTTCACCGACTTTCCATAGATCCTAGTTCCATTTTCATCTCTGTCTGCCAACTCGTCATACTTGTCCATCCAGTATTCCTTCTCCTTACACTCCTGGCGTAAGCAATCTTCCAAGTACTGTTCACGCCTAGACTGTGGCGAGTCTTCTTGGTGTAGGCCATAACTCTCCAGGAAGCTTGCAACCGAACAAGCATCGTCAGGAACATAATGCGACTGAGATTCCGCTTCTGCGTCGGTGCGACGTGGTCTCATGTAAGCATTTGAGACCGGAGGCGGGCTTGGAGCCGGAGGATAAAGCGGCGTGGGTTCCAGTACATCTGGTTCCTCTTGGAGTTGTGCGACAGAGTTCCTCAGGGAATCCGTAGGGGATATGTACAGCGGTTGTTGTAAAAGTCTGGCCTGCTCCTCGTTGAATGTAGCCGCTTCATCCATCCACTCCTCCAGCCCGGCCATGTACTCTGCCATGTACGCACCTCCCGCCGCGGCAGGCTGTCCATTTCTCGATGATGGGACAGACAGAATAGGGGACGAGACCTCGGATTGATGCTCCTCATCAGAAGCTTTCATGCTCGTCTTTCCCTCCTCCTCTTCTTCGCCTTTGGCCTGTATCTCAAACTTCTCGCGACAGGCAGAACACACTCTCTTTGCTTGCTGCCAGTCCCATGAAGGCCTAGTTTTCGAAGAAGTTGGTTCTGCCCGCTGCCCCTGAACCTGTACCAACAGTTGAGCATACGCTTCATTCAGTTTGTTGCGTTGGCGTGTAAGGTCCAAAAAGGCCTCCATCTCAGCCTGTCCTCGCGTTGGAACAGTAGGATCGAGTCCCACGCCAGCCCCTGGTCTTTTCTCACCACCAGCAGCCCTAAGATTCCATGCTTCGACGTAAAGGCACAGCATTTCCAGAGGCTTGAAAATATGCTCTATGAGAGCCCTTTGAGTCGGAGCCAGGCGTTCTAGGTCCTCAACCGTATCACGGTCGTTAGGTTGCGGATCCAGCGCCGCTCCCTTGGCCGTCGACACCCAGTCTAATATGTATTTGCATAGATTCGCGGGAAGCTTAAAGTCCTCCGGCGACAAATACATGGGCTCTTCATTGTGCCGTAAGTGGTGTAGATCAGGTGCGCATTCGTTCATGGCGTTCTGGACTCTCGTCCAGACTCCAAATCCTCAGCGTCATGACGTTGTGTAGTGTTAGTTGAAATCTCGGCAGCGCTCCTCGAATCTCTGCTGTTTTCGGCCTCGACTTCGATTTGGGCTCTTGCGGAAGGATCAGTGTTGACACCAACTTTTGGCTCGTCGTACGGGTCTTGAGCCCTGGACTTGAGCTCTTCGCCAGGCTCAGACGTACAGTCCGGCCAAGCTATCTCCAAGGCGGCATTATTAGCATCATCATCTCCAGCAAGTGCCGACTCGGGCACTTCTTTCGAGCTGGCAGGAGGTTCCTCCGGCGACTTGTCCTCCGTGTCTTGGCGCCTGCTGGTCAACATGCTTGCCTTTTGATTGCCGTGACGATATAGCAAATTTTAGGTGACGCGACATTTGATCGCAAGTTCAGAACAAGAAGATGAGTGGATGAGCGTCACTGGGTCTTTAAATTGAACAGGGCGCTGCCGTCTCATCAGAGGAATGTTGGTTCGATTGGAAGACACCAACCGAACAAATTTCATAAGATTGCCTTTGTTGACTGCATTCACATTACTTGCCGGTCCGACTGAACAGTGTTAACAGACAACAAAGGACAGGTGAATGCAGACCGAAGCACTTCATGGCTATAATAATGTCCGTAGCAAAGGCTCTGCAAGCGAGACTCAAAAGAGGGATACATTTTTTCTGGCAAATGAAAGGTTCACCTTGTGGTATCGAGAGCATGGGCCAGAACGCTAAGCGTATATCCGTGCTTGCCAAAAGAAAGATACAAGTGATGTATTCATTCCACCATTATTCACTGTACGTTTGTACACAAAGCCCTTTCATACAAAATCTTTTCGCCATGCCCAAATATTGACACAAAGACCCAACGTTAGCTATACCAACCACGAGCGCCCGGCCTAGAATGTGTAGTCTCTCTCCGATGACTTATCATCGGCTCCGTAATGTCGAACACATCTATAATCTGACGCCAAATCCCTTCATCCATGGATATTACTGCTTGGTGCTTTGACGCCCCATGACGCTGGGTTCCATCATCTTCTGGTTCCCGTTCAACAGGTGCTGTTTCAAGGGCGTTCGTATCAGCCGCATATCAATACTTGGATGACATGTTCATAGAACGTACCTAATGCAGGAAGATCGAACTCGTCAAAATCGACCTCAACGCGCCCATCTCTAATGAGAAAGCTAACGTAGAATATATTTTCAACCGTTTGTCCAAAAGACTTTGGGTTGACAACAAAGCGCATCAAATCTATTCCTCCAGTGCTGCGAAGCCCGTGTTGGTGCATAATTCTTGTTTGTTCATCCTCCTCCATGTCATCGTCGATCAAATCCGCAACAACTTTCTGCGTCTCAACCTGAACTTTGCGCAGTTGTTGTAAAATCTTGCCACATATCGCCGTCAAATCATTCTCCTTCCTTGCTAATTCCTCGACGTTAAGTACCTCGGGTCGCGTCTCTGTCAAGTTGTTAGGTCGAAAGGGAGCAGTCCGCTTAGCAATCTTGCGGGCTTTCTTCTCAACAGACATTGGTCCTAATAGGAATCCTGGAAGGGCGGGTCGTCGAATATGTGGCAAGCAAGCAAAATGGCCAAGGTGTGGCCAGTTCATCATGTCGCCCTCATCTCCTATTTCGTCGTCGTCATTGTCATCATCATCGCCATTTCCCCTGCGCCGTGATACGGTTCTGCGTTGCCGCTGCGTGCTCGATAGCTCTGGCGCATTGTCATCGGCGATCCCACTACCCTGTCGCATATATGTGATCGCCTTGGAAACAAGTTCATCCACATCTATACCTTGTGAAAGGCTGCCCTGGGTGAGACGCAGGGTTTTCCGATAAGACAGATCAGTGGTGCTTACGAGCAGTCGTGAATCGATTGTGGCTTCGGTGGTCTGTTTCAACTGTTTGGAGAGTTCATTGGCTTTCAAAATGGTCTCGTGCAAACCTCGTGAGTCGCCTTTCAAGAATTCCTCCGAGTTTTCAGAAATCCCCTTTAGAAGATCTCTCAGTCCTTGTTGCACAACTCGGCGTTCTTGAAGAGGTTGGTCAGGATCATAGACATCTTCGAAGTCGCTTTCGCCTTGGCCACTGTCTTCATCGGTACCCGCGTCCACGGTTCTCCGACGGGTACTGAGCGTTTCTGATGTGGCGGTATTTGTTCTTTTTCTTTTCGTTCCAGATGCGCTCCGCCCGCCAGGCTTCTGCCGGACCGCTAGGCCATGCCTCGTGGAAGTTGGTGTTTGCGAAGGGAACGGTGATGCCCTCTGAGATTGGTTGTCCTCGGACCGTCCACCGACGCGTATTGGCATCGCAAAGGCGGATCGCTGCTAAAAGAAGTAGCGTTGCTTATTATTATTTGAAGTTTTCAGTTGTGTTAATTTGTAGGGTCCGTACAAGCTCCCACACGCAATCGTTTTGATGTAGTTTGGCCCTGAAATAAGAAAGTAAATTTGCACAGGTGACACTCCGTACATTGGGCTGTCGCGTTGGGGAGACGCGCTTGGCGGTTCTTGCCGGCCTGCCAATTCACGGCCACGCGGAAGGTGCCCCTCCATTGTTCAGGGTGCTCAAGCGAGTACAAGCTAGGTAGCTGCACGGGTACTAGGTACCTACCTAGGTACTTAAGTAGGTACTTGGGTACCAGGCCAGGGCTGCTACAAGCCCGAGTATGGATCTAGCCCATCAAATCCTCCGTGCTGTAATTATTTATTGAGGGGGGATAACTGATCATATTGATTACCTAGGTACTTTCCATGTATGATCTACAGCCCATCTAGTACCTATCTACCTCCTAGGTACCTTACCAAGCACTCCGTACCCTTGCGACTATTGACAGCACAATACTCGCTTGCTTGTATACAGTTCTTGCAAGCAATTATCATGCTACAGTATAATATTCACCAGTTGTACTATGAGCTGGCGATGTCCAGCAGGTCCCAACACCATTATAACATGGCTTTTATGAGATTCTAAATTTCACTCACCTTGCTAATTTCAGTGGGGATATCGATGTAGTGTCCCAAGTAAAATATAGCTTTCTCGGCTCTAGCTGAATTGTGCAAGAGGACTGCAATTGATATGCCTTGCGCTCAGACGGAGCTGCATTGGCCACTCAGCATCCGCGTACCACATCAAAACATCAATCACTTTGTTTCATCACGCACAAACAGAGCACGAAACGCAGATCGGCCCGTCTCAGAATGCTATCAATCGCGATTCAAACCGCCAAAAATTTCAAGAGCGAGACGCCGTACGTATAATATTTCACGATAATCTGCAGCCACACTTATACACTTGGTCTACAGCGGCTGCCGCGGTCGAATCCACATCCAACACGTTTGCCCTTCGTAATGACGGCTCGGTCGTTTTGCAGGGTGGCCTGCAAGACAAAAAAACCTTACAGGCCCCATGAGTTAGACATGGAAGAAATTTTGACAGGTCGAGGCGCCCAGGTCTACTCTGCCTTTCCTGCTCCTATGCTTGATGCAGGCTAACAACATCCGAATGCATCGAGGCAACGTTGGATCAACTCTCTCATTGAGCTCCGGGTAGCCTGTCACTAATGCCCAGGGAGACCAAGATAATAGCCCCTGCATGATCAAGTGACAACGCTCCAAAAATGGAACTGGAGCTGGAACTGGAGAGGCTGCTATGTTGGCTGCAATAAAGAGCAAACGTCGATTGGACAGGCATTTTCACCGGTCGCATGGCTTCGCAAAGCGGAACTTCTGGCGCATCGTCTTTTGACCAATGTTCCCAAGACGAGCGAAAGAATCGAGCCAGGGAGGGGCGCAACGGGCGCCTTCGCCATCGCGTGGTCTGCCACCGCATCCATCTTGTTGTGGGAAATGTGGCACAAGGACAGCGTGAAACTCAGATTTGAAATAGCATGACGGCGATTATCCGGATCACAGAAAAGGGAGCCTAACGCTCTGAACAAGAGACTGCCGTACCCAAACTACATCGTAGATTCGTCCCCAGCCATGCGGGCAGCACTGTGCGAGGCATGGAGCCTTCCCACATCCAGCTTCCAGCAGCGAGGGACAACGAAGCCTGCCAAGTCCTCGCGGGCGTCGTTCACACATGGCCTCATATTCAGCTGCAAGACACTTCGCTGGGGGTTCCACTGTGGAAGCAGTGGGCCTTCTCGTTCTAGGGTGCGGGAACAAACGATTCGCTTCAATGTTGCGACGTTCTTTAACCCTGGATGCTTGGATTGCGGTGTTGTCCGCGGATTGCGTATTGTACATACGTCGGCTCCATTTCGTGTCGTGTGCGGACACTGCGGACTACACAGATTGCCGTGGCACGGAAAGAGCAGCACAAGCCCCTTTCAGGATACACACATTCTGCGATAAGGACTCATGCACTGTGTTGTTTGCGACGTGCCAACCACCGTCATGCAGAGGCCTCAAAAGTTAGGGGGAATGGGTGGCAGTTGCCTCTGGTTGCCCGCCACGTTTGGTCTCTTTGCACCTCCAGGCCGATCCTCACTACCATCAACCCACCAACCTCTCGTCGTTGCTGCTGGAGGCTCCATCTAGCTCTAGTTCCGCGGTACCTCACTAAGGCATCGGAGGGTGGCATTTGTAGAGTTTGGCCCGCCAGCGTTCTGGAGGGTTTCGACCCCCCCTTCTCTCAGCCTCCCTCCACAACATGTGGCTGTGGTTTGGCTACGATAAAGATATTACCCCGCTGAGGAGTGTGGACTAGGTCGGTCGATGACATGCAACCAGCTAACGCCTTCGAGAAACGGACCAGACTCTGAATTGTCTCCAAGTCGATTGTTTCTTCGGGCAAAGCAAAGACATCCTTACCAAGCCTCCAGTGAGAGCTAATAGGCCGAAGGGCATCATCCATTGCATGACCCTGCTTTGTCCATGCCCAGCGTCGTTCAAAAATGGTTGTTTGCTTATTTGGGGCCCGGCTCAGCCATCGAAGCCCTCTTCATGTCGCCAAGCTACAGGCTACATACATATGTACCTCCCCAGCCCTTGTCGAGCTTCTTCCACATTTCTGGACGCAGCAGTCCGGGGTTGCGGTATAATAAGGTACCGTGAGCTCGCCCTACCATGGCTTCCGGGGGACATCCTTTCTTTGTTATTATCCCCTCATCCTCTTCTCGTAGCCCCATAGGTATCCACGTCAATCCTTGCTTCCGGACCTGACGACTACGTGATAGAATCTGGGTTTATTAACCGGACATCTCACTCCAGGCTCTTCCCAGATTCTCCAGACTTGGACAAACGCCGTAGACGCTGCTTGGACACACTCACGTGCGGTACTCGTGATAGTCGTACAAGGGAATTATTTTCTGATCCTGCTTGGTAGCCGT